AAGTGAAATATTTACAGTTTTTACAATATTCATATACAATACAATACCATACCATACCAGCACTCTACAAACAGTATACGGAGAGTGTATACACAGTTACATTGATTTGTTTGTTTCACATTTGCCGCGTATATGTACATGTATATTAGAAGTCTTCACAATTATTAGCTGGTACTGTGGTCGCTGCGAGACTTTATAAGAAACATGCTTCACGTCATAAAAATATCCACTAACATTTCTGGCATTCGAAAATCGCTCTTACTATAGATAACATCTGAGATTCCACTACGCTGTGCTACCGGAAATGAAGATATTACTGTGTAATTCGAAGAGTGGCGCGTGCGTGGGTTCTTTCAGTCTGCTATGGTCTGTTAACACGACAGTAAGCGGTCAGACTGACCTTTCTCAGTTTACAGCACACCATACTTTTGGTCATCAACCGGCTGTGATTGGAAGATTAAAAAACCCGAATGTGAATGGAACGCCACAAGATTTTCATTGACAAATCCATGTTGATTGTAGTATATTTATTGTTCGATTTTACTCTATAACCGTATTGGAGACAGAACAGAGGTATATGTAACCTGACGATTTAATATAAGATTGTTCACATAATATTGTCAGGATAGGTAAAGGGTTGGTCAATCTTTGTTAAACTTCAATAACTAATGTACAGGACAACTATAGTTACAAAAGTGATTTCTACAGAGTTAAACAAAAAAGACAACAAAATAACATTCCTCAAATTTTTACAAAGAATAATTCAAACAAATATACTTAACTTATGAAATACGAATTGAGCGTAGACGAACATTGTCCTTATGATTAAATGGAAGCTAGTCTACTTTGCTTCTATTTAAAAATGGCTGAATAATCAAATATTTTGGGTATAAAATCGAACAGAAATTTCAGTATGTGCATATAACATTTCTCTGAATCGGAAAATATATTGGTGAATATTAGGGTTATCGATGACTAGATCATGGAGTTTTTAAACCTATCATCCTTTAACTATTGCCTATAGTACTGTAACACCTAGGAAACAAATCCTACATTATTTATAAATTCATAATGAAAAAACCCAAGTAACTAATGGTTTGTAATAATAACAATTGAAAAGAAAATCGTTACAAAAATGATTTCCACCTTTTCCAAGCTTTCTTATTTACACGAAATAAGAACGAGATACTGTAATGTATGTATCAGTTTATAATTGAGGCAAGGAGCATTACTCTTTAAACAAACTGTATCCAGGGATTTCGTGAGTCTCCAGATTGACTTTGTTGGCCTCTATTGTGTTGATCTTTATATGTAGACTAATTATACCTCCCTATGTCGATTTATTTTGTTTGTCTCTATATGTCGACTAATTGTGTTAACCTCCGTATGTCGATTTATTTGGTTTGTCTCTATATGTCGACTAATTGTGTTAACCTCCCTATGTCGATTTATTTTGTTTGTCTCTATATGTCGACTTATAATGTTACCCTCTTATTGTCGATTTACTTTGTTTGTATCTATTCCGTCTTTGCGTATTGCAGAGTTATCTTCTCTTGAGAGAAGGTATTGATTGTTACGTCATTGGTTTGCGTGAGAAAATTACGTCGTTTTCTCAAAAATTGATGACTTTACTCTCACAAACAAATGACGTAACAATCAATACCTGCTCTCAAGAGAAGATAACTCTGCAATACGCAAAGAAACGCTATATGTCGTCTAATTATGTTAAACTCCATATGTCGATTTATTTTGTGGATTTCTATATGTCGACTAATTATGTTAACCTCTTTATGTCGATTTACTTTTTTGGCCTCTATATGGCGACTAATTGTATTGATCTGTATGTGTCTAATATCTTGTCAAAAGACATTATATTTTTGAACTTTATCAAAATAACCGACCATGTACGTGGTGACATTCGTGACAAACCTGAAATTTGTCTTGCACCCTACCTCAAGGTCCTTTCATCAGAATGATGCAACTAAAGTCGGAAAATCCCGATGCCGTGATGCAGATTGTTCTTGCCCAAAATTCTGGAAGGAAAAGCTGATATTTTCAAAATGGTAGCCTGTTAAAACGAGTTTTCATGGCTTTTGAGTTAATACTCTTTACTGCTCAGTGATGTAGGATAGGAAACGTCCACCCTTTGTTTTTCAGGCAAAATCCTCGAAAATCCTCGAGTTTCCTCAAATGAGTCTTGTATTCTTTGGCTTGGAAGTGTTTTGTATTCTTCTTTTTATTCCTGGGTTTTCATTTTTCTTTCTTAGTCAGCGTCAAGACTACAACTGAAGTAGGCCCAGTTCTTCACTATTTGAGGGTGATTCTTATAAATTTTAAATGGAATCAGAAATTTGTGCAAATCACAATACCTGCCAATGATAGTATTATACCATCTTTGAGGGGTTGCATGTTACCAAGTGTTGATTCTAGCCTATAACACGTCTAGTATTACTCTCTACAGATCAGGGTAGGTCTAAACAGGCTTGTTCTTATGTCCATGCGGTCGTACTCCAGTTTGAATCATTTCGGACGGCTGTTCTACGTTGTTTGTTGTAGAACAGACCTTTTATTACACTATTGTGTACGGAGACTCTCCCAGTGGGGTTAATATTGGAGTATATTGTTGCCATTATTCCATTAGGGTTCTGTTACAGTTCACGTGGTACATGTCTAGTTGTACGTATTGATCGCTGCCATATTTCAACTGGTATTGACCGAGAAAAAAAATTGACAAAAATATAAGCAACATGAGATATTTTATGATTTTTTTTATTACGAATAAATAATTGCGCCCGTGTAGTGTCCGCGGTGCACCACTAATACAAAAGCAGTCTATTATTGATCCAGAGTATGTCATTACACACCAGTGCTGGGATACGTCACATCACGTACAGGTAAAGGGAGTTCAGGTACACCAAGCTTCAGTTCACAGTGACGCAGATTTAAAGTGACATATTGATTTCTGTCTTAACTATAATCCACTTACTGTCAACAACGGACCGATCGACATACAGCGATAGGCGTAATAATGGATGAGGGCATAAAACACACCGTAAACAATTTATAAAACACATTGTACACAATTTACCCCCACCCCACAGCCGGTCAACTAGTATATGGTAAACTGTATTGATAGCAATGCGTGCAATTTGTTCTTATAGAATCTTATTTTCAAATATATTCGCATCCAATGCTTTTTAAACTATACGGTCAACATTTCTCTATTTCCTGAGCCTTGTACGAGTTAATACAGGAAGTTAACCGACGATGTTCCACTCTATCAAACACGATTGATGTCCTTCCAGTTGTGGTAAACCGCACAGGGACCTACTCGTACGACGTATCAATCATTGGCACATTTAGAGGACATTGATCATGGATATAACTGCATATATCATTCCCACATAATATATCGTGTTTCGTTGATTTGTTGGCGGAGTTCATTTCTAAATTCAAACTTGTTCTACACATGTTTAAATAAATATGCTTACTGTCATGTAGGCCTACATGTTATAAAATTTTACAGTGCAGGGGAGGTTACTCGAACAACAGTTAGTTTTTGTTGTCTGAGTAAATTTACTGTAACGATCCTATTTTGTAACCGAGGTCCATCACACGCCTGGAGAATCATTCGCACTGATCGACAGATCCTTTAAAGCGATCAATATTGTTGTATTGAACATATATTTATCATACACTGTTATACTAAGCCTTTTTAAAAACGTAAAACTAGGCTTTGTAAAAGAATACTGAGAATTTGAAACATTGAAAAACTATATTTCCGAACACTGATACCGCTTTATAAATCGCGTTGTCTATTAGCGGCTCGTAAAAATCCTTGAAATATAGGACCATTGACTAACCCTGTCGGGGAGAATTAATAGCAGCTTTTTCGTTTCAGGAACTTCGAATATCGGTAAGTTCTGTTGTGTAGGTGAATAAACAATGAAAGCCCATTCACTATTTCGTCGGACCCAAATAATACGAACGTGAAAATCACAGCGGCAAGCGACCCGGTACAAATTGTAACCCTACGAAATAAACGGCGCTACCTATGGTGGCTTATTTATGCCATTTCGTTTTTTCGGCGAAATAACGAGATTTTAAATTATAGAATATCGTTGTTTCATTATATTTGTATATAGTATGGTGACTTGTAAAATAGTTTATTTGGTGTAACAAGCAGTTGCAGACGCGTTTGTTAGTTGAACTTCATATTTGCATGTTACCATCGAGTGAAGCAGTGATTGTTTCACACCTGTGACATAAATCAGTAGTTATTTGGTAGAAGTCAGTCAGTTACTTTCCAACCTTCCTCTATTTGTTAGAAGTCAGTCAGTTACTTTCCAACCTTCCTATATTTGGTAGAAGTCAGTCAGTTTCTTTCCAACCTTCCTCTATTTGGTAGAAGGCAGTCAGTTACTTTCCAACCTTCCTCAATTTGGTAGAAGTCAGTCAGTTATTTACCAACCTTCCTCTATTTGGTAGAAGGCAGTCAGTTACTTTCCAACCTTCCTATATTTGGTAGAAGTCAGTCAGTTACTTTCCAGCCTTCCTCTATTTGGTAGAAGTCAGTCAGTTACTTTCCAACCTTCCTCCTTTTTAGTATTTTTGTAATTGACTTTACCACTCCATTTTTTTCTCATGTGAATATTCCGTCAAGTCGAGTAATTTGCTAAGATCCTCAAAATTCTGAATATTTGATCAAGACCGAAAATAGCAGGGTGGACTTTTCCTGGGGGCCGAACTTGCCCGTTATAGATTATATTCCTGTATAGTAAAATGACTACCAGAGTAGACTTACAACACCAAATAAGATTTAATTCAAATTTAAATAAAACAAAAACATAAGTTACTATTTGTTAACAACATGAAGAAACATGTAAGTTTAAACTGTAAAGGAAAAGCATATATATATGATAAACCCGTCGGTGAAGTATTTTACTAGTTTGATACCTGTTTTAAGGATACCAGAGTTATCCCCCTTCATAAGGCGGCGGCAAAACGAAAGCAGGAAAGTTGTTGTGCACGTGTGTGAAAGAAGGTGGACCAATGCAACTACGAGGTTATTTAAGTTTCTGTTTTACAGAATTTCAGTGTCCATTCGTCATAGTTCTCATTAGTTATGCAGTGTCATTTGATTACTATATTAACCGATAATATTCACATGTGACATGGATCTGACAATACAAACAGGTCCAGTACACTCTGCCGATTGAGCTATATAGCTATAAAGACCTATATAGCTATATACACTTATAAATTATAGCTGTATTTTCATTGAATTAAAGCAAAGTTGCATCAAACAATAAGGTTTATGGTAATGTTGACTACAAAGAGCATACAGTTAGATGTTTGTTTTCATTTTTCATAAATGTAAAATTTCCGATTTTTTTACATCATTATTTTTTAAAAAGAATACTTATATTTAATGTCTTTTGTTATCAACCTAATGATACAATCTTCTTTTAAAAGCGACTTTGTTTCGTCTTCTTTAAAAAAAGAAAATCACTTGAAAATAGCTCAAAAGACCTATTTCAGATAGGTCAATAGAGCTATTATAGGTCTTTACAGCTATATAGCTCAATCGGCAGAGTGTACTGGACCTGACAAACAAGATACATATTTGAACGAACTTTTATGCCAGTTATGGTTCGTTAAGGTTCCTTAATCGATAAATAAACTTTAGAGTATGTGTCATTCATAACTATCTATGAGTGTGATGTTATGAACGCGCTAGACATGTTATAAACATTGAAACTGGAAATAGCTTGAATGTTTATAATGTCTCTAACAAGATAAATGTTTCGTGTGTCCATAACGGTCACAAAGCCCTTGGTTTTTCAAATATACATCGGTAAAATATGTAACTTGGGCATTTTAATATGATTTCTGTGCATTCCCATGGAAACAATCATCTACTTTTGAAGCCGGCATGCCCCTCCCCCTACACAACCAGTGAAAGAGAAATTAACAGGTCCAGTACACTCTGCCGATTGAGCTATATAGCTATAAATACCTATATAGCTTATTTATAGCTATATACACTTATAAATTATAGCTGTATTTTCATTGAATTAAAGCAAAGTTGCATCAAACAATAAGGTTTATGGTAATATTGACTACAAAAAGTATACATTTAGATGTTTATTTTCATTTTTCATAAATGTAAAATTTTCGATTTATTTACATCATTATTTTTTAAAAAGAATCCTTATATTTAATGTCTTTTGTTATCAACCTAATGATACAATCTTCTTTTAAAAGCGACTTTGTTTCGTTTTTCTTAAAAAGGAAAATCACTTGAAAATAGCTCAAAAGACCTATTTCAGATAAGTCAATAGAGCTATTATAGGTCTTTACAGCTATATAGCTCAATCGGTTGGGCTTCTAAAGAGATTGAAATGCTGTAAGTCTGATAAACTATTTTTATGAAAACGTCAACATTAATGTCTTATTGACTATGTTAACCTCGCTTTGGAACTTTATAAAAGGTAATGTACATTACAAGTCCAATATATCCAAACTACATATAGAGCACAAGTTCTGATCTTTGCTTAGGGTATTTGAATATAATCTATCAGGGGGTTGAAATTTAGGGTGACTATACATATAGCCTCTTTCAGGGGGCTAGTTGAACCTTAAGGCCATTATGTAAAAAGTGTTTTAAAGTGTTTCCATGTTGCGTAAACAAAGGACGCCGTTTTCTCCTGTGGAAGGAACCCAACAAGTAAATGAAGGATATGAGTATTTTAGGAGTTTCATATTGTCTATGAATGCCAACTGAAAGCAGTTCAATGTAAAGTGACCGAGCAGAATGCCGTGCTTGGTGACTTAGATGCCGTGCTATCGCAATGAGGCAAATACACCAGCATACCCTGCCTCCTGCACACACGCAAACATGCATACAACAGTGAACACAAATGGAAGCACATCCTTCAATGACCTTAGCTGTTAATACAGTGTTTTTGTTAACTAAATTTGCAACAGCCTGTTCCTTTATGAATTGGGAAAATAGAATTATTTGTATTGAAATTGGGAATAAATTCCTCAATTTTTGGTCATTTTGGGAAAATAAGGCACTACATTATGTACTTATCTAGGGGAAACATGTTATTTTTGTATGAGGCAGATCTGACTGAAGAAGGTTAGCCAACTTATGGTTTCCCTGGGGCCCGAAAAACAGGCCTAATAGGGGAAATATATTTAAGATAGTATTTCTCACTGGATAACATCCAGGTAATTATATATTTATAATTCACATGGTATTATTCATCAAATGTCATATGGATTTATTTCGAAGTTTATGTATACTGGAAAAAAACTCTACAGTTGCTAATAAATTTAGTTTTTCCTTTGTAGAATGGTAATCCGAAGAGTTTACAAGAAAGGGGGGATAACCAAGGGAAGCCATGATGCTACAAAACTCAAGATATCCTCACTTATAGGGAAGGGACTGTCTAGGATTCTTACAGAAGTCTGTTTCTACATCAGCATAGATGATGAAGGTTTGTGATCTCTATAAGGGATGAAGGTAATGCTATCTGTACAGAGGTTTACGTGAGTAAAGGGTGAAGGTTTGTGATCTCTATAAAGGATGAAGGTAATGCTATCTGTACAGAGGTTTAACTGAGTAAAGGGTGAAGGTTTGTGATCTCTATAAAGGATGAAGGTAATGCTATCTGTACAGAGGTTTACGTGAGTAAAGGGTGAAGGTTTGTGATCTCTATAAAGGATGAAGGTAATGCTATCTGTACAGAGGTTTACGTGAGTAAAGGGTGAAGGTTTGTGATCTCTATAAGGGATGAAGGTAATGCTATCTGTACAGAGGTTTAAGTGAGTAAAGGGTGAAGGTTTGTGATCTCTATAAGGAATGAAGGTAGTGCTATCTGTACAGAGATTTAAGTGAGTAAAGGGTGAAAGTTTGTGATCTCTATAAGGGATGAAGGTAATGCTATCTGTACAGAGATTTAAGTGAGTAACGGGTGAAAGTTTGTGATCTCTATAAGGGATGAAGGTAATTCTATCTGTACAGAGATTTAAGTGAGTAAAGGGTGAAGGTTTGTGATCTCTATAAGGGATGAAGGTAATGCTATCTGTACAAAGGTTTAAGTGAGTAAAGGGTGAAGGTTTGGGATCTCTATAAGGGATGAAGGTAATGCTATCTGTACAGAGGTTTAGGTGAGTAAAGGGTGAAGGCTTGTGATCTCTATAAGGGATGAAGGGAATGCTATCTGTACAGAGGTTTAAGTGAGTAAAGGGTGAAGGTTTGTGATCTCCATAAGGGATGAAAGTAATGCTATCTGTACAGAGGTTTAAGTGAGTAAAGGATGAAGGTTTGTGATCTCTATAAGGGATGAAGGTAATGCTATCTGTACAGGGGTTTTAGTGAGTAAAGGGGGAAGGTTTGTGATCTCTATTAGGGATTAAGGTAATGCTATCTGTACAGACGTTTAAGTGAGTAAAGGATGAAGGTTTGTGATCTCTATAAGGAATGAAGGTAATGCTATCTGTACAGAGGTTTAAGTGAGTAAAGGGTGAAGGTTTGACGGTATGATGATTGTTATAGATAATCAAGGTTAGATAACATGACTGGAGAGATGATGAGGGGATAGTACATGTCGCCACCCAAACTGGTTTGGTCGAGTCAGATAATCTACTAAAAATTATGTATAGGTCGCCAACAATAGTGTTTTGTACTTTTTAGATCCTCTGGATGCAATGACTTAATATTTGTCAAAATGAAACGTCTTCTCAAATCTGTTGATGTCAGAAGTTTTCAGATTGGGGTAAACATGAAAATGACATTACAGAAGAAAAGAATTTCCTCTGTGAAGGAGTACGTGATACTTTTCTGAAAAATTTACTTCCGGACCAAATTCAGCCTTCTTCTATTAGACTTCATGATCAATTATATTATCACATAACAGACTATATGTGTTTTACCTTATGCAGATTTAGAACAAGAAGATATGGACAAGTTAAAATGGATACTGCACACTCCTTTTCAGGAGGGACAGATTTCTGATGACACATTTCTTCAACCCAATACTGCTGACACAAATGAAAAGCATGTCATCATTGAAATAGGACCAAGGTAAGTTGACCTGTTTTTCAGGTCTTGGTGTATTTGTTTACAGCTAGGTTCCGAGCATGTATGTACTGTATACAGCCATTTTCAAATCCTCTCTGTTGAGTATTCAGTGAGTATCCGATCTGTTCATTTTGCATGAAGTTCTCTCTGTTGTGAGATGTATACAGCTTTTTTGCATTGTCAAGTAACTTAAAATTGTAGAAAAAAAACCCAAACATTTTCATCACCTAAATTTATACATCTATAATATTTCAGCTTGAAAACAGTTGGTGTGAAAGCTTTTGCAGGTTTTGACTATTATTAATGCCTCCTCTCTACAGGCTGAACTTTTCAACTCCATTTTCAACAAATGCTGTGTCCATGTGCAAAGCAGCAGGATTGAAACATTTGATTCGTGTGGAGAGCTCCGTACGTTACATGATTATGACGAGGCCAGGATTCACGTTGACAAGTGAAATTGAGGAGAAAATAGTGGCCAGCCTTCATGATCGAATGACCCAGTGTCGCTACTTACACCCTATTGAGAACTTTGAACTTGAGGCATTGACTGAGGAGGTGTACGAGGTGGAAGTTATGGAGAATGGTCGTGTGGCCCTGGAGATGGCAAATACAGAGTTAGGTAGGTTTATTCTATTTGTACAATATTGGAGATTGCCATTACAGAGTTAAAGTTTATACTATACTGGAGATGGCCAATATAGACATAGGTTTCTGCACTGTAGATGTCAATATAGGTAGGTTTTAAAGTTTTCTGGATTTGTATACTGGCCTTAAATGTTGGCAACTGAATTAAGCCTAAACCTGCCTTGATGTATCAGGTCTGGCCTTTGATGACTGGGACATGGATTACTACACCAAGCTGTTCCAGGAGACGATCAAACGTAACCCAACCAACGTGGAATGCTTCGACCTCGCTCAGTCTAACAGGTGCATCAATATCAATATAAAAATGATAACCCATTCCGAAAATCACTCACATGTTTGTGACATTACAAGCTTTTAAATCAAAATATGAGCAAGGTGGGGGAGGATGATGATGGGTGTATGTCCTGAAGCGACACAACATCCATGTGTCTTTCTGTTCTGTCCCCATCACTTCTCAAGTCACCAGTGTTGAAGATATTTTGAAGAAATTTAAATGTGAAGTGTACTTAAATCACCCATTAAAGGTGCCGTGCACTTTAATAAGGTCACAATTACCTCAAGGTCAGAAAATGCCAATTTTCAGTGAAATCTTGTTTGGTTTCAGAGATTATGAACTGTTGAGATATCTTAAAAGTGAAGTGTGTCTGCATCATCATTATCACAAAAAAAACAAAAAAAAACATGTTAAAAAACCCAGCAGTGACTATTATTATAAAGAGGAGACCTGTATTTTTGTACATATGAACAAAACTCTATTTGTTTTCTCAAATTTATAGCGAACACAGTCGCCACTGGTTTTTTCGAGGGAGGATGATAGTGGATGGTGAGGAACGTCCAGAATCACTGTTTGACATGATTAAGGCAACTCAGAAATCCTCCAATGACAACAACGTCATCAAGTTCTCTGATAATAGCAGGTACAAGTTTACAATAAGTCACCGTAAATTTGTGGGAATAATGCGCACTTAGGTATAGTGTGCAGGTACGTTTTTGGGGTCATTTGAAGAAAAAAAAATGGATTTCTTTTCCCTGAAAATCAAACTGGAAAAGTAGCATCAAAGGTAGGTTGGTGTTTGTAACGCCGATTAATAAATGATTGATTTATTGGAGTCAACAAGTCCATGAAGGTCTCCCTCCGTACCGCTTGGAACGAGTGGATGATGGACGATTCCTGCAGAAACCAAACGAAGAAAGTGTAGCTAATTCCGATGCCAGAGAATGTCCATGCTTCTAGTATAAACATATTTTTTATAATCCCTTTACGGTCAAATCAGTCTGTAGTTCTAACAGTGCAGTAGGGCTTAATGCCACGTGTTGAGGAGTGATAAAACTATTTGACTTGTTCCTGTATATAGTGCGCACCCCCTTTTTGACATGACAATATTTACCTAAGAAAGTGTGCAATATACCCACAAATTTACGGTATCTGTTTTTTTTTTTATATCAGACTTAAATATTCTCAACGTCACCAAGTTCTCTGATAATAGCAGGTACAAGTTTACAGTAGATTCTGTGTGTATATCAGACTTAAATATTCTCAACCTCATCAAGTTCTTTAATAATAGCGGGTACTTGTTTACAGTAGATTCTGTGTGTATGTCAGACTTAAATATTCTCAACCTCATCAAGTTCTCTGATAATAGCAGGTACAAGTTTACAGTAGATTCTGTGTGTATATCAGACTTAAATATTCTACACTGCCTTATTTTCCTGAAGTTGGAAAAAAAAATGTTGGTGCAGAGGGGTTTACACCTCACCTGTAGCAAACTTTGCAGTAAGTTTAACTAATCCATTACTTGACAGTGCTATTAAGGGGTTTGAGGTGGAAGTACTACAGCCCAGCGACCCAACCAAGCCCAGCCCCATGATACACACCAAGGAAAAAAAACGCCACATCATCTTCACAGCAGAGACGCACAACTTCCCTACAGGTATATCTTGCCACAGACATACATTTGTAGTACACATAACCTTGTTACCTAGATGTTTGTAAACCTATGTTCTTTACACTCGAGTTTCAATATGACTTGAGTTTCAGTATGCATTTTGGTTAAAAATTCTTGGAAAACATTTCAATGTTATATTTATTATGTTTTTTGTAAGTTAAAAATGTTACACTGTAGTCAGCATGTCTGTCTTTCTAAAGATATCATCTTTCTCAGGTTTTATCACTGTTGCCTGAACCCTTTATTTATGGAAACATGCAAATCATGCAAATGAAATGGTTTTTCATTGAATCACAAACTAAAGATGATTGAGAATTATAGATGATGAGAAAAGTTACATACTTTTTTTTAGTTATTTGTTTCATTATAATCCTGAGCTTTGAAGAAAAAAAATCAAACTAAAAATTTAGTTCTATCTGCATTGATGATTATGTATATAGAATCAATGAGGGTTTTCTTTGTGATACAGGTGTGGCACCCTTCCCTGGGGCCACCACAGGTACGGGGGGCCGAATCCGAGATGTCCAGGCAGCTGGCCGTGGGGCCCATGTGGTAGCGGGGACAGCAGGGTACTGCTTCGGTAACCTCCTCATCCCAGGTAGGGACACGCTGAGTGATACAGGCAATACATATCAAGTATCAAGTGGCAAGCTCTGTGCTGTAGTTATGTTTCTATTACCAACAATAACATTGTGTATATTTTCTTTTCCAGAATAAATAATACTTTATGGCTAATTCAAGACCAGCAATTGACATTTGGTAACGTCGGCTACAAACAGATTGATGTGTAGCCATGTTTTTGGATATTGTTCGGTTGTAATCATTTTGTATTTCATAGTCTTCAGACATTTATAACTTTCTTTTGGTTAGGCCAAAACATATACATTACTTGGTTCTCAGGCCAATTTTTTTCAAAAGAGATGCGGCAGGGAGGATATATTTTTTTTCATTTTACATGGCAAAAATGAGACGAGAGAGATTTTTTTTTATTGTGTAGTTTGTAAATCATTCATTGTGGGCATTACCTTGTCTTTTTATAGTTGTGTAGAGATCCATCACAGAGCAAGCCTCCGAAAATCCCTCCACTATGTTGCAGACGAGAATCACTAACCCCCCATTCCTTAAGTACACGAGACTAATAAGTCATAATCGTTTTAACGCTTGCCTGTATATCAATTTCATTATCTTTATTCAAACGTTTTCGGGACTTGGGTGACTAACGAGTAAAAACGACATGTGGACCAATTTTACGGATTTTTTTAAAGATGGCGGCTGGCGCATTCACGATTTTCTTTTATTACTTTCACGATAAATGCGGCAATGCGGTGCCCTAAAATGAGAACCAAGTCTTCATTCTTTTTTGGCCTTATGTGACCAAAGCAGAATGTGGTTTTGTAATTTATGAAAATAGTCAGAAATAGAATATTTATGCCAAGATGATAGCATATTACTTTTGACCTCATAATGAGAAATTTACCACTTCCGATATGTATATTTATCCTATTGTATAATTAACATCTGTATTCATTTTTGTTTTCTTGTTCTTTATTTCGTGTACTTGCTTGTTAAAGGGTATGAACTGCCTTGGGAGGATAAGACTTATGTCTACCCTAGTAACTTTGCTCTCCCGGTGGACATCGCTGTAGAGGCCAGTAATGGGGCCTCGGACTACGGTAACAAATTTGGAGAGCCTGTTATCACAGGGTTTGCCCGCTCATTTGGACTGACCACACCTGATGGAGAGCGGAGAGAGTATGTCAAACCTATCATGTTCAGTGGTGGCATTGGACAATTAGATGGGAACTGCACCATGAAAAAAACACCAAAAGAAGGTAAGTGTTTATTTCTATTTACAGTTATATTACTAATTTCTTTACACAACAAGACATCTTTATGCATCACCAACAGAGTATGTCCAGTACTGTTCTTCCAGGTCAAAGGTTAAATAAGGACTTTGTTTTCCTTAAAATTTCCTGGGTCATGACTTTAAAACATTTCCGAACTTAACAAGACATGATGGTACAACAAATGTTTTAAAACATGGGCAGTAGTGACTCGTCATGCATAATTAGAAACACTGATATATTACCTTTTCAGTTACTTGGATATTATGATTATCATTACTTTTGGCATTCAGTTCATGAAGTATTGGTTTCTATTGACAAATGTTTTTAGGAGCTTGAGTTAAGATCCTCAATCTTATAAAAGCTTGTGAAATATTCTTGTGTAAGTTAATTAGAGTATGGAGAGAAAGATGAATGAACAGGAGACAGGATAAAGTGTTTTCATAGTCTTAAACTATTAAAGTTCCAGCAGCTGATCATTGGGGCGTTGATGTTTGTAGGTATGAGGGTGGCAAAGATCGGGGGTCCAGTCTACCGTATCGGTGTGGGAGGGGGAGCAGCCTCCTCCGTCCAGGTACAGGGGGACAACAAGACAGAGATGGACTTCAGAGCAGTGCAGAGGGGAGACCCTGAGATGGAACAAAAACTAAATCGCCTGATACGTGCCTGTTTGGAGATGGGGGACAGCAACCCTATAGCTAGCATACATGATCAGGGAGCAGGAGGCAATGGTATGTGTCGACAGAGATATAGACAAGGACTCTATATCTAACATACAAAAATTACCTATAATATACCTGGTATATATTCTTGAGGCAATGTTTTATCTCTCAGAAAAAATATCTTATCACTTTAGGATAAGTGTATGTGTTGAGAAATGGATAGCAACTTCAGAACAGTTCTTTTATGTATCCAGTATATTATCAATGCTTCTATGTCTGTATCTGACATTGTTGTCTTTATCAGGTAACGTGCTGAAGGAGATAGCAGAGCCAGCTGGAGCCGTGATCAGGGCGTCTGAGTTTACTCTGGGGGACCCCACCCTGACTGACATGGAGTTATGGGGGGCTGAGTACCAGGAGAGTAATGCTATTCTCCTCCACAAGTCTGATCGTGATGTCCTCGAAACCATCGGTAAACGGGAGAGGTGTCCGGTCGACATAGTGGGCAAGATAACTGGGGATGGAAGGGTATGACCAAACTTCGCTTATGTTAGATGTTATTTGTGATTTTTTTTTATTATTTAACTTCTTACTCCAGATTATCTAATTTTTACAAAATAGTGTTCAAAGATTTCAGTAGTTGCACAAAAGTATATTATCTGTAGAAACAATTGCTGGACATCACTGTAGTTTGTCAATTATGTTCATTTAGTTGACATTCCAGTGTTTTATCTGGGGACGTTTTGGGGCCGATATCGGGCCACATTCCTAATTGAAATTATGTCATATTTATGCCTCATTCCCCAAATTTATAGTTTACTCCTGTCAAAAAAATTCCTTCTCAATTGGTAAATTTTCTTCCACAAAAATGCAACAAAAAGGTCCCATCTTAAATTTATGAAAAACAGCCATTCATTCAGATTAACCTAGTTCTTCTACCATGTATTTAAATTTACCTGAGGAAATAAAACAACTCTCTTTAAACACTGAATTGGGAGATGTAACCATTGTGTTCAAACTAGATGTTCCAATGTTCCAATATAAATGTGAATTAAGGGTAAGTACCATACAATCACTGATGAAGAGCTATCAAAGCAGGAAAGCTTGAGTTGAGAGTGTCTGTTGATATTCATGTATTCATAGTTCAGTAAATGGCTTAATGAAGGTATCAACTGTAAAGACATAAATTTGACTACTCTAACGAGAGTCAATCATTTCCAAGAATTTTTCTTCTTATCTAAAATCACAAAGAAAACCGACATTGATTGGATTGTTTTCTACAGATCAGGTTTGAGGGATTTAACCACTCTGAAGGTGATGGAAGCCCTGCAAAAAAGCGGCGGAAGTTTCATAAATACCCAGTTGACCTGGAACTTGAACATGTACTTGGCTCCATGCCAAGAAAGGTAAGAGTATGACGTGTATTTTAACTACAAACACTTGAAGATATTTAATAACATGTATTTTACCTACAAACACTTAACCCTTAGGCTGCTACGCACGACAATAGTCGTTTTTAAAAGTCGGGCCGTCAGTGCTACGAACGACAATAGTCGTTTTTAAAAGTCGGGCCGCCAGTGCTACGAACGACAATAGTCGTTTTTAAAAGTCGGGCCGTCAGTGCTACGAACGACAATAGTCGTTTTTAAAAGTCGGGCTGTCAGTGCTACGCACGACAATAGTCGTTTCTCGGCCTGTGGGTTTTGATCGGTAGCCAGGAAGTGTGAAGATGGGTTGTTGCTATACCAAACCTGAGCGCTTATAGTAGAAGGCTTCTGATTGGTTGTTTTGTCATTACTTTCGATATTCACGGCAGTGTACCCTAGTAATAACCAAAGGTGTGCGAGAGAATTTCAAATAAAAAAAAAAAGTCATAAAAATGGCGGAAGTGTAGATTGAAGCGATGCATATGATGGTAAACATTTACTCTCCATCGTCACCTACGATGATAATAAAGGTTTTGAAGGGTTCGGCATGGTTGATGTGGAAATACTTCGGTGTTACATAATATGTAACTTTCCAGTAAATGGCTTTGTGCTCTACGCAAACAGGAAAATATTGGCGGACCGAGGCGCCAATGTCGTCTGCAGGTGAGGCCGAATTGAACATTGACATTGATACGTTTTGAGCCGATTTATTTCTTCAAACTTTTTATCGGTGACTTAATCATAAACTAGACCGTAGCTAAGATATATCTATATGCCGACTGACAGTAAATTTATTTAATGGCGACCTGAAACCTGTAGCAAATCACATGCAATTCTTGACGAAATACCTGACCTTTTTACCTGAGAATCTCTGTGTAAATATACAGCGTCTTATGTCAAAAATGAATTTTATAATCTCTGTTATCATTTGCCAATCACATTTACGGACGAAAATAATTTTAAAATGATCTTCCTCTTGCTTAAATCCGATTAATTAAAAGTTTCACATTTTCTTACCTTTATTACCACCTGTACAGGTAAATACTGAAGCAACTTTAGAATTGAAAACGTTAATATAAACTAGAGACAACAACGAACAATTTTCATTTAACTTTTTTTCACATATAACAAATATTTTCCAAGTTATGCACATTTGAAAAATCAAGTAAATTAAAATAAATTTCAATAATTAATTCAGCAGTGGTGTCCGTTTACATAGAAATCAATGTAGCAGCCTAAGGGTTAAGATATTTAATAACATGTATTTTAACTACAGACACTTAAGAGTTTTAATAACATGTATTTTAAGAACTCATTATGTTCAAGGTTACAGGAGTAAATTATCCATCTATCTAACTCACTTTTCAAAAAGAACCAAAAGGTCTAAAGTCCTAAACCCTAGCCATTCATTTGCTGTTACAGAGTGCTATAATAATAATAATAATAATAATAATTTGAGGTTCTTATATACCGCTTTATCACAACCTAGTTTGTAGGTCGTATCAAAGCGGTTCACAAATTATGAAGTCTATGAGATACGGCCCATATTCATGGTTACAGGGATCTTATCTGTTTAAATAATAAAACCAATTCAAACCTTCTGAATAACCAAAATGCCCAAAGTCATGATATTTGGCGAGTATCTTGCTGGCATGGAGTGCTACAAGAATTGTGCATGGAAATGACCTTGACTCCTATTCAATGTCATGGATGTCATTTTAAAAACATCAAACAACTTCTTCTGAAGAACCAAAAATAATATAGTTGTCATATTTGACAAGTAGCTTGCTGACATAGACTGCTAGAAAGATTGCAATCAGAAATGGCCTTCATCCATATCACAGTCACAGGTCAAGTTCTTCAAATGACTTCTTCTGGAGTATCATAAGCATAGAGTAATGATGTTTTGCCAGTAACTGCTGGCATGTATTGTAAAGTTTGGGAATGACCTTGACCAATATTTAAGGTAAACACGATCAAATCTGTTAAAACATTCAAGTGACTTCCTCTTACATAAAAATGACTTCATTATGTATGATTTCCCAGAAATCTTGTTTGGAGAAAACTCTGTGGATTTAAAATTCAGCTACTGGTTTTTTCTGATGTTGGTTTGTAGGAGTTTATTCTCAATCACAAGGAGATGCCACTTAAACCCTTGGTTCTACCTGAGGGCCTACAGGTAATTGATGCCCTAAACAGAGTTCTACGCCTACCTTCTGTGGCCAGCAAGAGGTACCTCACTAACAAGGTAAGGATCAAACCTCGCTTACAAGGTAAGGATCAAACCTCACTAACGAGGTAAGGATCAAACCTCCCCAAATAAGGTAAGGATTAAACCTAACTAACAATGTTAGGAACAAACCTCACCAACAAGGTAAGTATCAAACCTCACTAACAAGGTAAGGATCAAACCTCACTAACAATGTTAGGAACAAACCTCACCAACAAGGTAAGGATCAAACCTCACTAACAAGGTAAGGATCAAACCTCACTAACAAGGTAAGGATCAAACCTCACTAATGAGGTAAGGATCAAACCTCACTAACAAGGTAAGTATCAAACCTCACCAACAAGGTAAGGATGAAACCTCATTAACGAGGTAAGGATCAAACCTCACTAATGAGGTAAGGATCAAACCTCACTAACAAGGTAAGCATCAAACCTCACCAACAAGGTAAGGATGAAACCTCACTAACGAGATAAGTATCAAACCTCACTAACAAGGTAAGGATCAAACCTCACTAACAAGGTAAGTATCAAACCTCACCAACAACGTAAGGATGAAACCTCACTAACGAGGTAAGTATCAAACCTCACTAACAAGGTAAGGATCAAACCTCACCAACAACGTAAGGATGAAACCTCACCACCGAGGTAAGAATCAAACCTCACTAACAAGGTAAGGATCAAACCCCACTAACGAGGTAAGGATCAAACTTCACTACGAGTTAAGGATTAAACTTCACTAATGAGGTACTGGTCTGACCTCAATGACTTGGTATGGATACTACCTATCAAGGAGAGTTTTTGACTTCATCATTAAGGAAAGTTTCACTATTAAGGAAAGTTTTTGACTTCTTTATCAAGGAAAGATTTTGTCTTCACTGACAGGGTAAGGTTTTGTCTTTTCTCTGACTCATTAACGAGGTAAGGATCAAACCTCACTAATGAGGTAAGGATGAAACCTCACTAACAAGGTAAGCATCAAACCTCACCAACAAGGTAAGGATGAAACCTCATTAACGAGGTAAGGATCAAACCTCACTAATGAGGTAAGGATGAAACCTCACTAACAAGGTAAGCATCAAACCTCACTAACAAGGTAAGGATCAAACCCCACTAACGAGGTAAGGATCAAACTTCACTACGAGTTAAGGATTAAACTTCACTAATGAGGTACTGGTCTGACCTCAATGACTTGGTATGGATACTACCTATCAAGGAGAGTTTTTGACTTCATCATTAAGGAAAGTTTCACTATTAAGGAAAGTTTTTGACTTCTTTATCAAGGAAAGATTTTGTCTTCACTGACAGGGTAAGGTTTTGTCTTTTCTCTGACTCATTAACGAGGTAAGGATCAAACCTCACTAATGAGGTAAGGATCAAACCTCAGTAACAAGGTAAGGATCAAACCTCACTAACAAGGTAGGGATCAAACCTCACTAACGAGGTAAGGATCAAACCTCATTTACAAGGGAAGGATCAAACCTCACTAACAAGGTAAGGATCACACCTCACTAACAAGGTAAGGATCAAACCCCACTAACGAGGTAAGGATCAAACTTCACTACGAGTTAAGGATCAAACTTCACTAATGAGGTACTGGTCTGACCTCAATGACTTGGTATGGATACTACCTATCAAGGAGAGTTTTTGACTTCATCATTAAGGAAAGTTTCACTATTAAGGAAAGTTTTTGACTTCTTTATCAAGGAAAGATTTTGTCTTCACTGACAGGGTAAGGTTTTGTCTTTTCTCTGACTCATTAACGAGGTAAGGATCAAACCTCACTAATGAGGTAAGGATGAAACCTCACTAACAAGGTAAGCATCAAACCTCACTAACAAGGTAAGGATCAAACCCCACTAACGAGGTAAGGATCAAACTTCACTACGAGTTAAGGATCAAACTTCACTAATGAGGTACTGGTCTGACCTCAATGACTTGGTATGGATACTACCTATCAAGGAGAGTTTTTGACTTCATCATTAAGGAAAGTTTCACTATTAAGGAAAGTTTTTGACTTCTTTATCAAGGAAAGATTTTGTCTTCACTGACAGGGTAAGGTTTTGTCTTTTCTCTGACTCATTAACGAGGTAAGGATCAAACCTCACTAATGAGGTAAGGATCAAACCTCAGTAACAAGGTAAGGATCAAACCTCACTAACAAGGTAAGGATCAAACCTCACTAACGAGGTAAGGATCAAACTTCACTACGAGTTAAGGATCAAACTTCACTAATGAGGTACTGGTCTGACCTCAATGACTTGGTATGGATACTACCTATCAAGGAGAGTTTTTGACTTCATCATTAAGGAAAGTTTCACTATTAAGGAAAGTTTTTGACTTCTTTATCAAGGAAAGATTTTGTCTTCACTGACAGGGTAAGGTTTTGTCTTTTCTCTGACCAGGTAAGGTTTTGTTATTACTGATAAGGTAAGGTTTTGTCTTCACTCACCAGGTAAGGTCTTGTCTTCATTGACCAGGTAAGGTTTTGTCTTCACTGACAAGGTAAGATTTTGTCATCACTGACCAGGTAATGTTTTGTCTTCACTGACCAGGTAAGGTTTTGTCATCACTAACAAGGTAAGGTTTTGTCTTCACTGACCAGGTAAGGTTTTGTCTTCACTGACCAGGTAAGGTTTTGTCATCACTGACAAGGTAAGGTTTTGTCTTTACTGACAAGGTCAGGTTTTGTCATCACTGACCTTGTCATCACTGACCTTGTCAGGTTTTGTCTTCACTGACCAGGTAAGGTTTTGTCATCACTGACCAGGTAAGGTTTTGTCATCACTGACAAGGTAAGGTTTTGTAATCACTGACAAGGTAAGGTTTTGTAATCACTGACCAGGTAAGGTTTTGTCTCACTGTCAAGGTAAGGTTTTGTCTTTACTGACAAGGTAAGGTTTTGTCATCACTGACCTTGTCATCACTGACCTTGTCAGGTTTTGGCTTCACTGACAAGGTAAGGTTTTGTCATCACTAACAAGGTAAGGTTTTGTCATCACTGACCAGGTAAGGTTTTGTCTCACTGACAAGGTAAGGTTTTGTCTTTACTGACAAGGTAAGGTTTTGTCATCACTGACCAGGTAAGGTTTATCTCACTGACAAGGTAAGGTTTTGTCTCACTGACAAGGTAAGGTTTTGTCTCACTGACAGGAAAGTTTATGACTTCACTAACAAGAAAAGGTTTTGATTTAACAAAAGCGAGGGTTCTTACCTCACTGACAAATAAGGGCCTGGCATCACTACCAATGTAAGAATCTGGCCTGTCTATTTAAGTATATGATAGAGGAAAACGATCAGATTGTAAACATTAAATCTGATGCTGTTAATTTAAAAGTGTGTGTTCAAACTTAAGAATGACATGCCTTGAGCTATAGACCATCCCTTAACTTTTCGGAGTATCTTTTGTAAGGTGGACCGCTGTGTGACGGGACTTGTGGCCCAGCAGCAGTGTGTAGGCCCACTCCACACACCTCTGGCTGATGTTGCAGTGACTGCAATCACACATAACGTAAGTAAAACGGGTAGTAATTGAACTTCATCATATACAGCCGTGTTTTTTAATATCTTCACTGTAAAATGATACTTGACAGCTTATAATTTTAGGACTTGCAAAGTTTATTATGCTGCTATCACAGGTTGTCCTTTTGAAGATAATTTGAACAAAGATGTTTGGAAAAATTGATGGGTATAAATAAGAAATGTATTTTTAAGTTGGTGTTCGCATACCCCAGTATTTTAATACATTCTGATTTTCGTAAACAGGTAACTTACATGTCAGACAAATTATCTGTAACTATTTTATCTAGGCCAAGTATGAATGCAAACTCTTTTCTCATTGAAGAATTTTGTGGATAACATTCTTTATGCATTGTAGTATTTACTATGTATCAATAACTACACTCAAATTCCTACTGATAACTGACAGTGTATTAAATAATGTTTTAAAAATATGTATACAAATGTGGGAATGATCTGTCAGGAGTAAAGGTCACTGTTACTACAAAGGAAAATCTCACAGTCACACTCCTTTTCATCAGTCAAGCGGGGGTTTTTTCTTGACAGATTTTCATTAAAATTCATTCATGTTTGCTTTTGACATACTTTTAACAATTTAGAGTATCATTCTAATCAATCAAGGTCAAGGTAACAATTATTGAAAACATTATTTTTTTCTGAAAATGGCTTGTAATCACTATAAGGTGAAGCAGCGGGCAAGGTGTACTGTGAGCCTGCTTACTTTCTCCAGTAAGGTACTGACTACTAAGATTTCTAATGATAACTGTGACACTGTCCTCTTCTCATTACAGGAGTTAGTTGGGTCAGCTACAGCAATAGGAGAACAGCCAGTGAAGGGCCTGGTGAACCCAGCTGCTGGTGCTCGCATGTCTGTTGGGGAGGCCATGACTAATCTAGTGTTTGCCCGCGTTACTGAGAGGAAGGTACTACTTACAGGTTGTACTTTCTGACCTGTTCACTTTATATGCATACTGTGGATACAGTGATTCAACCCCACCAAGTAGTTGTAACATTAATTTCGGGAAGAAGTGTTCATTTTGTGGAGGTATGAGCAAAGTGGCTCAAGACCTTAGCCTTGGTTAAGGCATCTTCTGCAAGGTCTTCAGATTATATTAATAGATAGTTTAACTAGTAGATATATTTATGTATTGTTAATCGCCTTTGATCTAGATAAGGGACTGTATTGTGCAGTAAATATAGATTGCCTTGTGACTACTCATCATGCCCACAAAAAAAAGATGAGTTTAAACAGAAGTCACTGTTTTAGGATGGTTATTTCTTAATCTTTATTTATTAAATACAGTCATGCTGCACATAGAAGCATGTATTTATTGTATATATTACATTATTTGAAGCTAATGAGAATTTAAGATAGTTAAATTGTAATAGAGGACAACATTACCTGTACATAGTCCCATTTACTGTTCCGTTATAGGACATTAAGGTGAGCGGTAACTGGATGTGGCCAGCCAAGCTCCCCGGGGAGGGGAAAGCACTGTTTGATGCCTGTCGTGCCATGTGTGATGTGATGAAAGACCTGGGTGTCGCAATCGACGGGGGCAAGGACTCGCTCAGCATGGCTGCCCGCGTGGAGGGCCAGACTGTCAAGGCCCCAGGTACATCACAATTTATCACATCTAACCAGCCACTGTTGCTATTTAATGAGGTTTGAGGCATTGACTTTGAAGTCAGATGTGTTGACTGCAAGATCAGTTATGTGGTGAGCCCAGACCACTTTACAAGACAACAGGAATAAGCCTTTGTTAGAGGGTGCTTATTAAACATCATTACATTGTCTGTTTAATGGCAAAAAAATGATGAAATTGATTTATTTAACACTTGTGTGGTATTGCCTGTTATATTTGTGACATAGGGAGTATGATGTTTGGTTTTCTACTTTAGGAACGCTGGTTATTTCCATGTACTGTGGCTGTCCAGATATCACAGCCACTGTCACACCAGATCTCAAATGTCCACAGGGCAAAGGTTGGTGGATTGTTACTCCAAAACAACGAATTCTATTTGTATTATTGAAATATATGGTATTTAAAAAATCTTAAAAGTTAACATTTTAATCATAATGTAGTGTTACATGAAAATGTGCACATGTCAGACTTCTATAATATTTCTTTTTTTTTTTGCGTAAAATGTAACATTTTATAATTCATGTGATGCAAGTTGCGCTTCAATTTAACTTTAGTCTCTGGATTTGCGTTATAATTAGACTTAAGACATTTCACAGATGTAAGTATGTAGGGATGGGGAGATTCACTGTTTTGTGACTCAATCACCACAGTTTTTTTCCTGCTTATAACACAAATTTTAAACTACACCATGCATATATTCCAATTGACAATAACCCTAATATCGTGTTTTGTTACAGGAACCCTGTTGTATGTGGACATCAGTGGAGGGAAACATCGACTGGGAGGCTCGGCTCTGGCTCAGTGTTACCAGCAAATAGGAGATACCACACCCGATTTAGAACGGCCACAGGTCATGTGTCAGGTGTTTGATATAACACAAAAGCTCCTAAAAGGTATAATACTCCGGCAGGAACAAACTCCTGACTATTGTAAACCACATTATTCCAAATTGAAATGTTCAATACTGAAATGAGAAGTCTGTGAGACATATGTGGTTTAAAGATACTTGCTATAGAACCTTGTAAATTCTTACTTGGGGTTTGCAAAGCACTTTTCAAACAGGAAAATGCTGGAAAGTAAACTACTCCTTTCGATTAGATTAAAATGAATGACCAGATATTTAGTTTGTAGAACTTCTCTGTTGGTATTAGTTTTATCGTGTGATTTTCAGAGCGTAAGATCGTCAGTGGACACGATGTCAGTGATGGTGGATTGGTCACCTGTCTCCTTGAAATGGCATTTGCTGGCAACTGTGGTCTAAACTGTGATGTACCAGTTTCTGATTCAGGTATGTATCGGAGAAAGCAGGTATGGAATTACCTCTAACAATCACTATATACCACTTTCCGAATATGCATACATATGTATGTTGGTAGGTTACAAATGTATCTGTGTGCTAGAAGGAAAAGTATAAAGCTGATAAAAGATAACCTGACACTATATTGTGTTCCTGTGGTTTAGGCATTCTTCCATGTTCTTGTTATGGAAAGATATTTTTTCATATCAGCCACTGCCTACACAGTGTTTTAGTATCTTTATGTATTTATGCTATCAGACGTATTTCCATGCATCATTTGACCTTATCTGTTATAATACATGTATCACACAGTATAGGTTAGGACAGGCCGTCAGACTGTAGATATGCGTGGTGTGGGCTGTACCACACCGTCTCTACATAGAATGGAGAACAGCTCTTAGGTCCCAATATTGGTTAGAAGGTGGAGGAAAATCACTTACTTGTTTCCAGGTTGATGTAAAGAGACCATGCCTAGATGTCACAGTGATGTTCTTGATGCGGTCAGCAGTCTAAGGGAGATAACTCTCCCAAAATTCGCTGTAAAACTCGAAAAACTTGTTTACCCAGTACTTGATGCAGTTGGTGGGGCATATGCAAACAAAGTCCCTGTGTCTGTCCATCCAGAATAATTTCTGGAGCATATTTCAAATAAAGTCCATAACAGCACAGCAGGTGTTGTCATAGGAACAACACCTGAATATATGTTTTGGTGTATATTTGCTTTTCTGGAGCATATCTAAATAGGCTGTTACAAATCTTGATCTTTAAATGTCATACATGAGTCTGTTACACTGCAAAGGAGTATTTTCATCTAGTTTCAATTCTCAAGAAATTTTGAGTTGTCATACAAAATATACCTAAAATATTTACATTTTGGTACATATACATCAGCGGTGTAAAAATCCACTAGCTAGATCTATTCAAAATCATTCTGCAGGCTAATTTCTCCAAATATGAAATCTTACATATACCTGCATATTTTCAGAGCATATTTCAAAAATCTTTAACGAAATATATCTCCAAACTCAATGCCACTTGAGTCGATCTCATAACAGAGGGATGCTTTTTGAAACAAGCTCATAATGACCAAATTGTGTTGTATTCACTTCAGAACAGGAGTGCAGATGTTGGAAAGCTCTTGTTTGCTTATTTTACCTTTAGATTAAATTTGGTCTGTTTTGGTACCAATACAGTTTAAATCGAATGCTATTTGATATGTTACCATGCATGTATGTAAAATGCATGCACATGCCTAGCTACTAGATATCAATTCATGTATTTTGTATTAGACTGTAATAGTTTGGTTTGGTTTGTTTGTGTTTCACGTCCTATTAAGGTGGCTCGACACATCGTCATCAGCGTCCATTTTCGTGACGTACTTCCGGAAAAAGTACAGCTCGGACTCAATTATCTTGATCGAAATGTGCATGTACACCGTGTCGTCATTTCCGTTTTGCGTATCGGGTATTCAATATCGTAGTGCAAATTATAGTAACACCTGGGCCGTTTGCGTTTAAACGGTCAAACCGATCGGACCACTGTTGTTCGTTTATTAAATAAGGTAAGACCTAGTTATCTGATGCTGCTTTCAGGCGAGCCTTGAGAAAGCCTTGCAAGTCTTGCATACACATTTGTAGGTCCGCCAGGATTTATACCCGGAATTGTTACATTTATAAACGGTCAAACCGGTTGTTCCGCATAAACGAACAGGCCCCTGGTAAACAATAGTACACGTGCGTGCCGATGATATGTCAACACCCGATATCGAGATTTTACCGGGAAATGTATAATCACACGTACTTCAGGAATAAAGCTTTCCAATTCATTGACATAAACAGACTCACGGGAAGACAGTGACATGAGACCAGACGACCTCAAGAAGGTCATATAGGAAACACATGGAATGCGGACGTACCAACCTCATATGTGCATATCACGTGCTTACACGAGTTCATAAGCTGAGGGAGTTTCGCTCTGTCGATTAAATCGTGTTTACAAATGTAGTCTACTTACTCTGTGAAAATAATGTTTTGTAAAATATCAAGATACCTATGAAATGCATGTGTGAGGGCACGTGAGAACGGCATACCATGCGATAGCCTCTGGTCACATATGTACCTGACATGTAATTATAAATATACCGTGAGTTAGCGGACTGTGGAATGATGTCCAAAGTGTACATGACTGAGGGTAATTTGGTTCCATTAAAGAACAATAAATTGATAATTTTGATATCATATTTTTGATTTATTTCCATCATTTGTTATATGTAAACAGAGACAACTGTCATTGTGTAAATGTCATCCCTCTGCAAAAAGTTCCGATTTTTTTCAAGGAAGATAACTCTCACCCGGATCAAAGTGATTGTAAAATGTAAAATAAATTAATTATAAAGCCATTGTGTATATTTTGTTCAATTTCCCACTCTATATGTATAGATATGTGTGTCCTGTTTGCTTTTAGCTTGTAGATAATCACTTTTATCCGTTCAAATTCAATAAAAAACACTTTGTGTAACATGTGTTACATATTTTGCGATAAATAAAATATTTGTAGGATTAATTATAAATGCTTCTTTTCATTTTTTTTATTGTTTTTATTGTTCCGAACAATGCCACACACAAAAAAAACCCGGAAAATATTAAAAGTGGCGAAAATTCAATTTTTTGGTATTTTTTCCAAAAAATTCCCCAAACTATCGGAATGTTTAGATTTTCATAAAATTAACTCTACATAGTTGCATAACCATTATATGAAAGTTTCAACAAATTTTGCTGGTTAATTGCGAAAGTGTGGAGCCACCTTAATAGCTATGGTCGTTTAAGGACATGCCAGGTTTTGGTGGTGGAGGAAAGCCGGAGTTCCTGGAGAAAAACCACCAACCTACGGCCAGTACCTGGCAACTGCCCCACGTAGGTCTGGAACTCGCAACCCAGTGGTGGAGGGCTAGTGGTAGCAGAATGTCAGACGCCTTAACCACTTTTGCCACCCCAGAGAGTGACTGTTAGTACAAGTGATTGTCTTCCTTAGCTGCAATTCAATAACAATTTTTGTGTTTTTTTAGGAGTATCCAATATCGATGTATTATTTGCGGAGGAGCTTGGCCTCGTATTAGAAGTACAGGAGAAATATCAACAGGAAGTCCTTGAAGCGTATTCAGCATACAATGTTCCATGCTATTTGATTGGTCATTCACTTAGCAGAAAGAAGGACGTGCCAAAAGTAATATCTTTATCTGACATTTTTATTTGATGTTCATTGTGTACCTTAATAATGATTACTGCAACAAGACTATCCATCACTTCTTGTTGTTGACTACCAAGGTAAATCAAATGGTTTGTCAAAAAGAATTGCAACATTGGTAACCTCTCATCTCAACAATTTAGTACATTGCCCTAAACACGTAACAGACGTAATCAATCACCAACGGTAAAATAAATACCAGGTTTCCTACTCGGGAATCTGTGTTAGGGATACAAATCTAAACACATACCTTGATAGTTTACCTGTTCACACTGTGTTCAGGGCTTCTTACCATCAGGCATTGTGTTTGGTAAGAGGTCCTACAAGTGTTTAGAATATGTAGGCTTAGTTAAAACATTGTCTGGGGTAACAAGCCCCATAAATGTTCTTCTACGTTCCTCTTCTAACCTGTATCACTAACCTGTATCACTTCTCTGAATTTTCCTTCCTGTCTCAAACTGCATTACAGTTTTACTTACTAAATGACCTTATTGTGCAGTTGGTGCATACATACCTAGACTCTATCTGTATAAAATGAGATATAGTAGCATTTGCATTAGACATGAAATTTTCCTATTTTCCCCCAAATCCCATTCATATTTTGGCATTAGTCACTTTCTGTTTTTGTAGATCCGCTTGTGTATAAATGGCGACCCAGTGTTGGTGGAGACAATGCCTGCCCTGCGTGATGTTTGGGAGGAAACAAGTTTCCAGTTGGAGCGTCGACAGACTTCAGCCCAGTGTGTGGACCAGGAACAGAAGGGGCTCTCTGAGAGGGAGGGACCTCACTACCATGTAGCGTTTGAGTGTGATATAGTGTCCTTATCACGTAAAGGTAGAGACACAAGTATGTATGATCCAGCACCAGCACTGTGTTCACCTCTAACATTGGGTAGGAAGTAACAAATCGTGTTTCATTATTGTTTATAGTTTGTTTGAATTGATTGTTTCAGGTTGAGACATAACCATTTCTCTGTTTTAGATTGTAACCATTTCTCTGTTTTAGATTGTAACATCAATAACCATTTCTTTCAAATATCTATTTAAAAAATTAACAATCACAATCACAGATTCACAATCTTAATTATCTTCATATAACTTGATCAAATTTGAAAAATCAGAAAAAATAGAAAATGTGACATATATTTACAAATAACGTGGAGTTCCATCACTTTTCATCACATGTATACAGGTCCTCGAAATCTTACTGTCCTGTCAAATTAATGCTGTTTTCTCTTCATTCTTACGAAGACAATATGTTGTGGTGCATTTTAGGGAGTGCAAACATTTTGAAATTATTTTCAGGAATGTTGTTGAAAAGTGTTGACATATAAATATCATGACCGTATAACAGGGGATAAGCTCCCTTGTTTAAAATCAAGAGCCTGGGGATTGAATTTCTGTGGCAAAGATATTTTTGTTAAAAAACAGAAGTTATAAAAAACCTTTCTTTTGTATTTAATTCTTTGTTTTAGAAAAATTAAGAACAAAAAGAAACTGTACTTCGGTAGTGATACATGTACATGCATTACAACATATAGTACTGAAAATTGACAAAAAATTATCTTAATAATATTCTGATAAAGATCCAGTTGAGTTAAAAGCACTTACTTTAATTTTGCTGATTATTTTCTAAGAAGCAGAATAACATTAAGACCAATTCTCAAGGAATCACTCATTCATCACTCCTGCTTTGTACTTGTTTGAAAGTGACCATGATTAGAATGTCTATACAATTGTACTTGGTAGTAAAGAGGCCAGTGAGAGTGGCTGTCCTGAGAGAGGAGGGCAGTAACAGTGACCATGATTAGAATGTCTATACAAGTGTACTTGGTAGTAAAGACGCCAGTGAGAGTGGCTGTCCTGAGAGGAGGGCAGTAACAGTGACCGTGATTAGAATGTCTATACAATTGTTCTTTGTAGTAAAGACGCCAGTGAGAGTGGCTGTTCTGAGAGAGGAGGGCAGTAACAGTGACCGTGATTAGAATGTCTATACAAGTGTACTTGGTAGTAAAGACGCCAGTGACAGTGGCTGTTCTGAGAGAGGAGGGCAGTAACAGTGACCATGATTAGAATGTCTATAAAATTGTACTTTGTAGTAAAGACGCCAGTGAGAGTGGCTGTCCTGAGAGAGGAGGGCAGTAACAGTGACCGTGATTAGAATGTCTATACAAGTGTACTTGGTAGTAAAGACGCCAGTGACAGTGGCTGTCCTGTCAGAGGAGGGCAGTAACAGTGACCGTGATTAGAATGTCTATAAAATTGTACTTGGTAGTAAAGACGTCAGGGACTGGCTGTCCTGAGAGAGGAGGGCAGTAACAGTGACCGTGATTAGAATGTCTATACAATTGTTCTTTGTAGTAAAGATGCCAGTGAGAGTGGCTGTCCTGAGAGAGGAGGGCAGTAACAGTGACCATGATTAGAATGTCTATACAAGTGTACTTGGTAGTAAAGACGCCAGTGAGAGTGGCTGTCCTGAGAGGAGGGCAGTAACAGTGACCGTGATTAGAATGTCTATACAATTGTACTTTGTAGTAAAGACGCCAGTGAGAGTGGCTGTCCTGAGAGAGGAGGGCAGTAACAGTGACCGTGAAATGGCTGTCGTTCTACAAATGGCAGGCTTTCACGAGGTCTGGGATATCAACATGCAGGATCTATGTTCTGAGGCGATCACCCTAGACAAGTTCCAGGGCCTTGTGTTTGTCGGCGGCTTCAGCTATGCTGATGTTTGTGGATCTGCTAAAGGTTTATAATTTGTTAAAAAAAACACTTCTATAAGTTGATGAAAAAAAAACCATTTCAATGCTTGAAACTGTCTATATATGCAACCAAACACATTGATATTGACTGAGGATAAATTCTCAATATTTTTAGGTCACCTGAGCTTTAGCCATTTTGAAAAACTATTTCAAACTTAAAGTCAAGTTCTGCTGGGCTGATTTAACTGAAACTTGGTAGGAATGATCAACTTGTGGTCCTGACAAAGTGTTGTTATTTTTTCGGGTCAATCAGAAATCCAATATGGCCACCACGGTAGCCATTTTGAAAAACTATTACAAACTTAAAGTCAAGTTCAACTGGGCCGATTTAATTGAAACTTGGTAGGAATGATCAACTCACGGTCCTGACAAAGTGTTGTTATTTTTCGGGTCAATCAGAAATCCAATATGGCCACCAGTTTAAAAAACCATTTCTAACTTATAGTCAAATTCTACTTGGCCCATTTGAACTGAAACTTGGTAGGAATGATCAACTTGTGGTCCTGACAAAGTGTTGTTATTTTTTCGGGTCGATCAGAAATCCAATATGGCCACCACGGTAGCCATTTTGAAAAACTATTACAAACTTACAGTCAAGTTCAACTGGGCCGATTTAATTGAAACTTGGTAGGAATGATCAACTCACGGTCCTGACAAAGTGTTGTTATTTTTCAGATTCAATCAGAAATCCAATATGGCCACCAGTTTAAAAAACTATTTCAAACTTAAAGTCAAATTCTACTTTGCCCATTTGAACTGAAACTTGGTAGGAATGATCAATTTGTGGTCCTGGCAAAATGTTTTTTTTCAGGTCCATCAAAAATACAATACTGTCGCCATGGCTGCCATTTTGGAAAAAAACTATTTAAAACTTAAAATCAAGTTCTAATAGGTTGAATTAACTGAAACTTGGTCTTGGAATGATCAACTCATTGTCCTGACAAACTTAATTTAAAGTTATAGTTAACTTTTTTTTACTCAAATTTTGGTAGGGATGATTGACATCATTATCTCCACTTCATATTTCAACAACAAAAATTAATACTGTAGGACTCAGGTGACTGTTAAGGCCCATGGGCCACTTGTTTCTAGATATAATACGTAATTTAAAACATGTATAAAGTGTAACATAATGGGCTGATGATATGTATTGTCAAGTATTAGTTATCCATAGAGAGCAACACTTGAATCAAAAGGTTAATTGAGGTCAAATTCTATACAAATATTTGTTTTTATAGGAGAAAATTACTTTTATTCACTGCATATGCCTCATAACACATGTAGAATAGAAGGTAAATGCTCATGAATAGTTAATGTTCCATTGTTTGCTAAAAGTACTTGGAGAAAATTTTATAGGGAGTTTTGGAGTTGAGAGTTAGAGGACGAAGTTCAGGAAAGTGAGCCTCTAGAGAGAGAGGCCAGGGAAGGTCCGTGTAGAGCACTTGGTGTACATAGAACTAATGATGTTGAAACTCTTTATAATCTTGGTACTGATACATTTGCTGTCATGTTCTAAAACTGTTTAAACAGGAAATGTACTGGATTTTTGGAGAGAGATTTTACATTTACATTTTCTAAAGTTTTAACACAATTTTTTTTTCTATTTATGCAAACAATGTAGGTTTAAGTGTCACTCGATAGAAAATTCGTATTTCTGTGAAAATTCGGTCAGAAAACCCCATTAACGGCAGGCCATTTCCTTCCTTTGACTGTTCTTGACAAGCTTTTTTTCTTTCTTGTGTCTGTAAGTTAACAGTAGTTTCTAGCTGTCAACATGTGGTGAAGATCTTCCTTTACATACAACCTGCTACTCTTGTAGGTTGGGCAGCAACAGCCTTGTTCAACAAGTCCGTACAGCGACAGTTTGCTAAGTTCAAGGAGCGAGAGGACACCTTCAGTCTGGGAGTATGTAATGGCTGTCAGCTGATGGCACTTCTAGGCTGGGTAGCCTCTGATGATGACCAGAAAGGTAAGACAACTCCGGAGTGCTTTACCGAGAATACGTCATTTATCTGTGAAAACTCTGTCATCGCTCTATCAACTTCATCCCTCAACAGAATTTTATTTAAGTTGATACTAGTGTTTGGTATGGCAATGTATTGAACAATTTCGTGTTTCAGGTTACTGCATTAAAATGTCACTACTTTATTTCCTCTCACATATGTCACAATGTGTAAATGCGAAGGGATTTGTATCATTTGTGATGCATTGTTTACCAAAGTAACTGAAAGTATGTTGCATTCCAAATGGTATATTGTAGATATGTCGAGTAACCCGGCCTATGTTTTAGTGCTATTTATCAGTGATTGGTTGTCAAAATGCTATACTATTGAATATCTTACATAAGTATTTTGAACATAGTCTTTGATATATTCACAGCAAAACTGGATAGTTCATCATGTTTTTATTATATAAAACATCTGGGTACCATTCATATTTGGTTAATAATTCAGGTGCTGAAAGTACAAGGACTGTCAATACCTGTTAATTTGTGATTTACGAGCAGTTTTGTTTTTGGATTACAGAAAACAGTAACAGTGGTGTTGGTCAGGGAGTGCTGCTGGACCACAACTTATCTAACAGGTTTGAGTGCCGTTTCTCTACAGTGAAGGTCTACGACAGTCCGGCCATCATGACTAAGGGTATGGAGGGCACTACATTTGGCATGTGGAGCGCCCACGGGGAAGGTAAGTCTAGATCTATTTTTAGTAATTACTAAAATACAAAGGCAATTAAGCCCAACTTTTCCAATGCATGATATATTAAAACTGCAGAAGTGATAAGTATTACAAAGAGTAATGCAATCACAAAGGAGTGCAGTATTATAATACATTGTGAAGGTGACAACACTGCTGTTATACACATTATTGTTTCCTTAATGAAGATGATGTCATCTTTCTTCGTCAATATATTAGCACTTTATATCAATTTGTACGTGAATGTAATCAATTTTAGCACTTAGTTAAGAATTCTGTAAAAATAAGTTTGCATACTGTATTTACAACTCTTGTGGTTATGGCCATTGTGTCAATATTAAACTCTTATTTTAATTAGGACGAATGGTGTTCAAAGACCAGAGAATCTACCAAGATCTGGTAACCAAGCAGCTGATCCCTGTCCGTTATGTCGATGACTTGGGAGAGCCGACTACAGTGTACCCAATGAACCCTAATGGTTCACAAGATGGGGTAGGGGCTCTGTGCTCGGAGGACGGGCGACACCTGGGTATCATGCCCCACCCTGAACGATGCTTTTTGCCGTGGCAGTGTCCATGGATGCCAGCTGAATTAAGAACCACAATGGATGTAACACCATGGTTTAAAATGTTCACCAACGCATTTGACTGGTGTATAGACAATGTTTGACGTAATAGTATAGTCAGGTGGCTGTGTGTTTCAAAACCAAAACTGACGATGCAATAACATCTGATTCAGGGAATTCTCATTTGCTGAGAAAATGATAGATGATAGATTTTGTGGTCTACATGACTGTAAATTAAATGGTGACTGATCAGGTGTTCCAGAAAGGAAATAGTATGGGGGAGATTTTGTGTGCCAACACGACCATGTATGATTTGGGACGAGGGGAGAGGGTGTTTGTGTTTAGCATGACTGTGTATGTTTTAAGGAATTAGATGGTGACCTTGCGGGAGCTCATCCAGAACGGAGAGGGAAGATGTTTTGTTCAGCATGACTGTGTATGATTTAGGAACTAGATGGTGACTGTTGGGGATGGGTCGAGAAGGGAGGAGATATTTCCTTTTACTTGTCAAGTATCGTGAGGATACTTCACTTAAACATACATTTATGGAAATCAATAAATGTGTCACAGCTTATCATTTATAATCAGACAGGCATTGCTATTATTTTTTTTATTTTTTTATTTTTTTAAATTCAAAGGTTTAACATAGGGGGAAATCTGGATCCCCTACCCCAAGCTTTGCCCCTCCAGTGTATGACTGAGAGAAGTTAATACTGTAGATCTGCCCCTCCAGTGTATGATTGAGAGAAGTTAATACTGTAGATCTGCCCCTCCAGTGTATGATTGAGAGAAGTTAATACTGTAGATCTGCCCCTCCAGTGTATGACTGAGAGAAGTTAATACTGTAGATCTGCCCCTCCAGTGTATGACTGAGAGAAGTTAATACTGTAGATCTGCCCCTCCAGTGTATGACTGAGAGAAGTTAATACTGTAGATCTGCCCCTCCAGTGTATGACTGAGAGAAGTTAATACTGTAGATCTGCCCCTCCAGTGTATGACTGAGAGAAGTTAATACTGTAGATCTGCCCCTCCAGTGTATGACTGAGAGAAGTTAATACTGTAGATCTGCCCCTCCAGTGTATGACTGAGAGAAGTTAATACTGTAGATCTGCCCCTCCAGTGTATGACTGAGAGAAGTTAATACTGTAGATCTGCCCCTCCAGTGTATGACTGAGAGAAGTTAATACTGTAGATCTGCCCCTCCAGTGTATGACTGAGAGAAGTTAATACTGTAGATCTGCCCCTCCAGTGTATGACTGAGAGAAGTTAATACTGTAGATCTGCCCCTCCAGTGTATGACTGAGAGAAGTTAATACTGTAGATCTGCCCCTCCAGTGTATGACTGAGAGAAGTTAATACTGTAGATCTGCCCCTCCAGTGTATGACTGAGAGAAGTTAATACTGTAGATCTGCCCCTCCAGTGTATGACTGAGAGAAGTTAATACTGTAGATCTGCCCCTCCAGTGTATGACTGAGAGAAGTTAATACTGTAGATCTGCCCCTCCAGTGTATGACTGAGAGAAGTTAATACTGTAGATCTGCCCCTCCAGTGTATGACTGAGAGAAGTTAATACTGTAGATCTGCCCCTCCAGTGTATGACTGAGAGAAGTTAATACTGTAGATCTGCCCCTCCAGTGTATGACTGAGAGAAGTTAATACTGTAGATCTGCCCCTCCAGTGTATGACTGAGAGAAGTTAATACTGTAGATCTGCCCCTCCAGTGTATGACTGAGAGAAGTTAATACTGTAGATCTGCCCCTCCAGTGTATGACTGAGAGAAGTTAATACTGTAGATCTGCCCCTCCAGTGTATGACTGAGAGAAGTTAATACTGTAGATCTGCCCCTCCAGTGTATGATTGAGAGAAGTTAATACTGTAGATCTGCCCCTCCAGTGTATGACTGAGAGAAGTAAATACTGTAGATCTGCCCCTCCAGTGTATGACTGAGAGAAATAAATACTGTAAGTGTGATAATCTTTATATTTTTGACTGCAGTACCTTGTTATATTCTTTGCTGATGTAGGACTATCTGGTTAAGACTTAAGTGTAAGGTGTGTTTGTTTTGACCTGCTCGTGATAATTAGTGCAACTGTATTTACTGGTATAATGTTTGTACATGTATCTATATATGGAAATGTTGACAAAAATGAAATGGTGAAAATACCCCGTTGAATATATTTGATGTGCATCTTGAGGAAGATTGTGCTTACATTCTCCTTACAAAATGTGTATTTTGTATATAAATATGGATTGTTTGTGTCTGTGTCATAAGCATGTATGCACACCTCATATTTTCATTCCACACTCAAAATGCATGCGAATCCATGAGTAATATTCTGAGTTAGTGCTACTAGCTGCCTTTACTCTTGATTGTTCTAAAACTGATGTGTTTGCCTTTTTGTTAGCCTAAAGTATTTCCCGTCTTATGTCATGTCGAGTAACGGTAGGTCAATAATTGTGTTCTGATTGTGCTGTAGATGACTGTTGTAAGGATGAGATAAAATGAAGAATATATGACCACATGTCAGACATGTTTCTTTCCATTCCAACTCGAGGGGAAAATATATCCAAAAGCTCAAAATATGTTATTCCTTTATAAGTACATGTATAATGACAAACTTGTAGTCTCACTCAGTTACAATTCTATCCAAAGTAAATACGATTCTTATATGCTTTTAATGCAAGAAGATTTTCAACCTTGTTGCATAATTACAAATGTGATCAGAAAATGGGAAAACAGTGTTGTTTAGAGAAAGTCCTAAGAATCATGAAACTGACTGACGTGAGAATTTTTGGTAGATTACATGTTTTGATTATTTAACAAATTATGAATGCCTCACTTTTGCTGATAGAACTAACTTCATACCAAGGATTTTTAGCCCACCATCATCTGATGGTGGCCTATTCAAATCACCCTGCATCCGTGGTCCGTCCATCTGTCCTTAAACAATTCTTGTTATTGGTATTTCTCAAGAAGTACCTGAGGGATCTTTCTTAAATTTTATATGTAGGTTCTCCTTGGTCCTTAGCTGTGCAGGGCAACTTTTGAGACTGATCAGATAAACAACATGGCCGACAGGCAGCCATCTTGGATTTCGATAGTGAAGGTTTGATATCGCTATTTTTAGCTCACCTGGTCCGAAGGACCATGGTGAGCTTATGCCATACCACAGCGTCCGTCAACTTTTTCTTTAAAACGCTTCTAGTCATTAACGACTGAGCAGATTTTGACGAAATTTGGTCAGAAGCATCCTTGGGGGAAGGGGAACAAATTTTGTATAAACAGTGGGTCTGGTCCCCCTGGGCGCTGAGGGGCGTGGCCCAATAGGGAAACCTTAGCAAATTCTTTGTAATCCTTCTTCTGTAGGAATGAAAGGATTTGGTCCATATTTGGTCTGAAGCATTTTTGGGTAAAGGGGAACCAATTTTGTATAAACGGTGGGCCTGGCCCCCTGGGTCCTGAGGGGCGGGGCCCAATAGGAGAAACATAGCAAATTCTTTAAAATCCTTCTTCTTCTGTAGGAATGAAAGGATTTGGTCCATATTTGGTGTGCAGCATCCTTGTGTAAAGGGGAACCAATTTTGTATAAACGGTGGGCCTGGGTCCTGAGGGGTGGGGCCCAATAGGGGAAATAGAGCTAAAAACCTTTATAATCCTTCTTCTACCATAGGGATTCAGGGATATTATCCTAATTTAGTCTGGAGCATCCTTGGGCAAAAGGGACTCAATTTCGTATAAACAGCGAGTGTGCCCCCCCCCCCCCTGGGGGCAGAGGGGGGGGGCCCAATAGGGGAAACATAGCAAATTCTTTAAAATCCTTCTTTTTCTGTAGGAATGACAGGATTTTGTCCAAATTTGGTATGAAGCACCCTTGGGGGAAGGGGAACCAATTTTGTATAAACGGTGTGTCTGACCCCCCTGGAGGCAGAGAGGCAGGGGCCCAATAGGGGAAATAGAGGTAAAACCTTTTAAATCGTTCTTCTACCCTAGGGATTAAGGAATATTTTCCTAATTTAGTCTGGAGCATCCTTGGGCCAAGGAGACTCAATTTTGTATAAGCAGTGGGTGTGGTCTCCCAGGGGACAGAAGGGTGGGGCCCAATAGGAGAAATAGAGGTGAAACCTTTAGGATCCTTCTTCGACCATCGGGATTAAGGGATTTTATCCTAATTTAGTCTGGAGCATCCTTGGGTCAAGAGGACTCAATTTTGTATAATTGGTGGGTATGACCACCCCCAACCCCTCTAGGGGCGTAGGGTTGGGGCTCTGTTTGAAGTTTGTTTTCGCTATATCTCAAGTACTGGATGGATCTTTCTGAAATTTCATATGTGCTTACAGCACCTACCATGGATTGCTATATCTTTACTTCATACCAATTATTTTAATCATATTCAGGTGAGCGATACAAGCCCTCTGGGCATCTTGTTTGGGAAGTACGGGAGGGATCTTTCTCAAATTTTATATGTAGGTTCCCTTTGTTCCCTTGTTGTGCAGCAGTTCCTCAAATGGACGGTATCCCGCTTGCCAATGGAGATTAAAGTCTTGCTCGGACGACCAAAAGTTGTCAAAAGTGAAGTAGTCCCTGCAAGCCAAACAAAAAATATTTGGTTGACTGTTGAAAGATTTATGAATAAAAGAAATTATAGTTCCTTCCACATTAACTGGGGGGCAGTACATTTTTCAGTTGTCATTACTTCGATTTGAAACGTACTGTCTGTGATTTAGAAAATGTGATGATTTTTTTTTCAGATTTTCTATATAAAATACAGCCAGGGTGTCTTCTTTGAGTTGCGAGTTTTGTGTATTTCTTTGGGAAACATGCATGTACATGTCAGGTTTTAACTAGGGTTGAAGAATTAAAAAGATAATGTTTTATTCTGGTTTACATATTACAAACATTGTCATGTTATATGTAATTTAAAGGTGCTGAAGCATTGTGTTAAATGCTGTGGAAATATTTCTTCCCTAGAATATTTGGGCCACCAATATGTCATTTGGGATCCTTTATTGTTCATGTTTACTTTTGAAACTGATCAGTTAAACAAAATGGCCTACCGACAGCCATCTTTGATTTTTGACATTGAAGGTTTGTTAGTACTATTTCTCAGGAATAACTTGAGGGATCTTTCTCACATTTGATATGTAGGTCCCCTTGATCCCTCGTTGTGCATGTTATATTTTGAGACTGATCATAAAAACAAAATGGCTAAAGGAAGAACTAAACAGATCTTTCTCATATTGCAATGATCGATTCTATTTCTTTCACATTAAGTACTGTACTAGTAAATATGTGAAATGACAAACTCACTTTGAAGGTTGGCTTTCATACACATCAGTATTAAGTTTAGATCAAAAGTTACCTCAAGGTGCATTTTCTGTTAACATGACTCGATCAAACAGATTAGAGGAAAGAAGAGAAAAGATCGAACTGACAAAGAACTAATGAAGATGGTACAATGGTGGGCGCCAAGATCCCTGTGGGATCTCTTGTTGTTAATCCAAACCTGTTATCACTTTAAGTGTGTACTGAACAGTTATATTAGTGCCATGAGTAATCTTGTGATAATGTATAAATATTGAAATTATAATAATCATGAAAACAATATGTTATTATCTAATGGTATACATATGCATTCTTATTCCTTACAATAGATTGATTAGTTTTGGCTGTTCCTGTTTGTCATTGTTTAAAAGTATGAGCTAGACCTGTCATCATGTAAAAGTACGAACTAGGCCCTGTGAGCATCTTAAAATGATGAGTTACATTGTTGGTCTAAAAAAATGCCAAATTGATTAATAAAACAACTTATGTGGACAAAAGTCATTATTTTCCTGTGTGTTTAGACCAACCAAAAGAATCATTGCTCTTTTGCTGTTTGCATTACTACGTTTGAATGGTCCAAACACATTGGATGAAATACTTTGACTTTTACCCATACAAACATGAAATCAATATATCATGTATCATATCAATATCATGAAGATGATGGGCAATATTCTACATTAAGCTTTTAAATGAAATTGTCGCAGTACCAATTTCTAACTAGGAGATGAGCCTCACTATTTTGAGATTTGCAATGGTACAGACTGTTTATCGTATCTTGAAAATTTGAGTTTTACTGGTAAGGTGGAGTAACATTCACATCTAGAGGTCAATGATCAAGAAAATGTGCCCAGAGATGAAAGCTTTCTTACGAATTATTGTTGCGCATTCCTAGGAGACAAATATTTTATACATGTAAGGCATGTTTAAGTGTAAAATATCTATGGACATTGTGAAATCAAATTTCAAGAAAGTAAAATAAAGTTGATATTTTTGTAAATACCTGGAACTTTTGTCTTGTGTACTGTAGTTGCAAGTATTGTTTAGTTTTTGTCCACTTCTTTATGGAAAAGCAGGAAAAGCTATTGTATGGATGCTTTGGGGTAAGAATTCATGTATCTAGAAGTAAGTTTACCAGCCCATATCATCAGATGGTAGACTGTTCAAATCTCCTTTCATCCATGACAATGTCTTGTTAATGCTATTGCGAGAAAAATACTTGATGGAAGTTTCCCTTCCACTTGTAGGTTTTCCATGGTCCTTTTTTGCATATTTCATTTTGAGACTGATCGGACAAGACAGCAGCAAGGTAGCAAATTTGGATTTTGACGGTTAAATTAAAGATTGATTCTGCTATTTCTCAAGAAGAAGTTTTTTTTCCCAATTTCATAATGTAGGTACCCCTTGTTCCTTAGATATGCACATTTCATTTTGGAACAAATGGGGGGGGGGGGAAACCAAGATGGCCACCAGGTACTGTAGCTTGTTAGTTTTTATCACAAGGTTTGTCTTGGTCTGTAGCTTTGCATGCTATATTTGTTATTTGCACATTTATTAGCTCACTGGGCCAAAGGACCAAGGTCAGCTGATGCCATACCGTGGCTTCTGTCGTACATCCGTCGTCTGTGCGTTAACAATTTCTTCAAACGACTTCTTCTTCCTAACCACTGATTGAACTATAACAAAATTTGACTGGAAGCATCCCTAGGTGGTGGTGATTCAAAATTGTCCAAATGGTGGGGCTGAGGGGCGGGGCCAAAAAGGGTTAATATTGCTTTAAGCGACCTCTTCTCTGGAACTAAGAGATGGATATCAACCATATTTGATTGGAAGCATCCCTAGGTAGTGTGGATTCAAAATGGCCAAAAATAGTTTATTACTTGGAAATGGTTGAGATTCCCAGCCTGTAACTTTATACACAATTGCGAGTATAAAGAGAAGAATGCTCATATGCTTCCAGGATGGACAACCGTTGGAGACATGGTCCCTTGGTCATTACTTTGAAACGGGTCGAGATCCCCACCTCAGAATTATATATATACAAAACCTGCTGTTGACACTGGCAAGTCATCTGATGATGTATCCATGGCTACCACTAATGTCACCATATCTTGTTCTGATGTTCATGAGCCAGAAAATGATGTAACCACGACTGTATCTGATGCCACTTTACCTGCTGTAATGCTTGGCTTAAAGAGACCAATGCAGTCATGATATTAGAATTGACCCTTGGGTCTTGCCACAACCCTAGGGACCTAGTTTCCGAGTCACAGCTTAGAAATAGTTGAGATCCCCACCCCATAATTAACCATACATAAAATTGCTGGGCATGACAAATCTAACTTAAGCTACAAGGATTGGGATTTGGGGTCTGGCCCCTTCCCTTGGATCTTATTTGGAGTTATCACTAGTTGCATTGACTGTTGGCATGACTCACTCCAACAAATAAAAGATCAAACTAAAGATCAATTTTGAACATAGGACCAATGAAGATCTAATCATCTTAGAAAATGATGGTTGCCATGATGAAAGGTCTAACTAGGTCAGGAAAACATCAACATATGTTAATCCTCTCATGTCGATGAGATTACCATTCTTCGGTTGATTCCCTCTCAATGGTTGCATTCTCCAATAAAAGTTTGGTGCCCTGAATGTGTCCAGGGCCTCAATTATTAGAAAAAAGAATCGGTAAATCAAAACATTTTCAATATTGTTTTATTATAAAAAATCAAGCTCAATAATTATATGAAAGCACAAAACATAGTTAATCCTGTTAATAAAGCAAAAGTAGAACTGTAAGCCACATGCTGCCTTAATACATCAAAAACATGGAAACAGTATTTTTAGGTCACATGAGCTTTAGATCAAGTGACCTATTGTATCCGTCTTCGTCTGTCGTCGTCCGTTAACATTTTACATTTTCAACTTAGCTGAAATACTGGCAAAGGCATTTCATTAATATTTCATGGGAAGGTTACTGACATCTCCCTGAAGTGTTGTTATTTTTCGGGTCGATCAGAAATCCAATATGGCCACCACGGCCGCCATTTTGAAAAACTATTTCAAACTTAAAGTCAAGTTCTGCTGGGTCGATTGAACTGAAACCTGGTAGGAATGATCGACTCATGGTCCTGACAAAGTGTTGTTATTTTTCGGGTCGATCAGAAATCCAATATGGCCGACACGGCGGGCATTTTGAAAAACTATTTCAAACTTAAAAACAAGTTCTAATAGGCCGATTTAACCGAAACTCGGTCTAGGAATGATCAGCTCATGGACCTGACAAACTTAAGTTAACGTTATACTTAACTATTTTGTACTCAAATTGGTACATATTTCAACAACAAAAATAAATACTGTAGGACTCAGGTGACCATTTAGGCCCATGGGCCTCTTGTTAATTGATATAGGTACATACAACATTGATTTACTTGGCATAGCCTTGTGCCCCACCATACAGAGTTATGGCCCTTTAGTTCAATTGCAACTTCATACCAATATTTGTCTGGAGCAAAACTTCTCTACTACTTCATCTACAATTACCAAACTTGTTAAATGTATGTTGTTATGTTTTGGAATATGGGGTAAAGGAGGCAGTTTCTATTCAGAATACCTGTATATTGTTTTCAATATTTTGATACATTTTGTTAGGCAAAAATAAATAAATCTCATACATCCATGATTTGGTTTCTTGCCAAAATAACAAAAGACCTTCTTTGAGTGGTACCTGTGAACAAAACCTGGAGCCCTGGTGTTTTAATGGAATAGAAGTGATGGGGCAATAAATTTAAAATCATAATCGATAAACGGTTTATAATTTAATAGGACTGAATACCAAATAAAGTGAGAACCCTACCATTACTCCAATACACAGGTGCTGGACACACTGATACATATCACTTATATCAAGCACCTGTGCATCATTGAACAGAGTGTAAACTACATTAGGTTTCGTTCTTTCATAATGAATGGATTTCAAGCAACTTGTATGCAGTTTTATCAACCATATATAATAAATCAGAGGAAGAAATGACCATCAATGCATACCTTACATGGGATAACTTGACATTAAGATTTCAATAATGAATCGATTATATCCATTATGAAATTTATAATCAAAAATCAGAATTGGAAAGGGCAAGAAAACAATCGATTTTCGATTGTAATCGATCATCACCCCATCACCATGGAATAGCCCATAAAAAAATCAGCAGCAGCAGAGTTTTAAGTATGACTCTTTGATTTTACAAGGAGTCTAATTACTGGATAGTACTGGGATTGTAACAGGCATATTTTGTTCTGCCCTTAGCAGAGCTCTTGTTATATTTTCTAAAACATTAATTTATTTATTTAAACTTTGATAGAGTAGTTATGCTTTATTTTTTCATTTCAAACAGTTCTTTGAACAGCAAATTAAGTGTTGACAACAATGAAATTGATGACGTCACAATAGATTGATGGCGTTACAATAGATTGATGACGTCACAATAGATTGATGACGTCACAATAGATTGATGGCGTTACAATAGATTGATGGCGTTACAATAGCAAATGTTATAGTCTCACAACAACATTTGCCTTCTCAATACATTGCAATAGAAGGATGCAGAGCAAATATCTGACTATGAATCATACTTGATATGTATGCTACACTGGTATTAGCATGCAAGTCAACAACCAAAAAAGTGAAAAGCTGGAGTAATGTTTATCAGAACAGTTGTTAGGGTCCACTGCTTGCTTTTGTTTAATATATACATGTACAGGAACACAATGCAGTAAAAATAAATACTAGCCAATATCATATCTGTAATGTTACTGTACCAATTATTACTCCAGGTAAGCTTTTCTGTGTAGACACCAATAGCTATTTCCATTTGAAGAAAATTTACATACTGAACTCATAATGATAATTTACAACAATAATCATAAATGACAAATATTTTTTAACCTTCTTTTAAACAAACGTAATGGCTGGACATAGCTGTGGACCATTTCAATGCTAGGTAAATTCAACGGGGAGACTGTAAGTATCAGTAAGGTTTTAGTGGACCATTTCAATACCAGGTAAATTTGTCTTTCATGCACGAGACAGCACATATCCTTTTTTGTGGGGCAAAATGTTACAATTTATGTTAACTAAAACTTTGAAACAAGATTTGCCAAGTCTACAGTTATATTTACATTCCACTTTGATGAGTTTTCCAAAATGTTGACGGTGCACAACAGCATAAACAAATCAATCTGATTCAAGTGTAGTTTTCTTGAAAAATCTGGGTTGATATATCAAGGTTTGCTACTAAATAATCTTTCTATTTTTTACATTGTACCATACATTTTTTTAGATTTTTTAGAATCGCCCATCTCTGGAGTCCCAGCTGTCACGGTCACGAAAGCTTGGTGGGTCCTCTATGTCCCCTGCCTTCCCTCCGTTAGGAGTACTCAGAATCAATCCTTGCCTCACCATGTACCTGGCCAAAGCTACATGTCCATACTTAGCAGCAGAGGAAAAGGAGAATTCATTCTTCATTGTATGCTTGTCTGTATTGGCACCATTTTCTAGCAGCAATTCACAAATGATGTAGTAGCCTTGCTCCGCTGCTATATGTAATGGAGTTTTATTGTCCCTATTCTGACAATCTATGTCAGCCTTTTTGTCAAGAAGGAAACTGATCATTTTTTCGTTGTGGAAGTAAACAGCATAATGAAGTGCTGTCCATCCCATATCATCACGACTGTTTATATCAAAGTTCTTGTCCAACAAGCGTTGGACATTGTTCTCGTCTCCCAGGGAGGCTGCGGCTTGTAATGGGGCTATCAGGTCTCCATAGGCTTTGTAAGGATTCTCCTTAGTGTATGTGTCTGCAATGCTTCGGATTAGGTAGTCATCCTGTGCAAAGATAGCTGATGTCAACATGGAAGACCCATCTGGCATCTTTCCATCTTTCACCTTTTCGTTATTCATTCTCAAAGTTTGTATAACATTTCCGTTCCCAGACATCAATGCCAGGTGAATGGGTCGACGCCCATTAGGTGCCACCTCATTGGCATCAGCCTTGTGCCGGAGAAGTGCTTTGAGTGCACCCTCCTTTTTGTTGCATACAGCTCTGTGGCAGGCTGTGTAACCTTCTGCAGATTTCTCGTTGACATCCAACTTCCCCATATCTAACAAGTAATCCACCACCGAATCCTCACACCTTAATGCAGCAATATGTAAAAGTGGGGCTTTCATCTTCAGGAGGAAGGCGACGTCAGATCCGTACAAATCTTCCAAATCATCCTCTGGCAGAGGATCATCAACAGAAAGCGCCATGCCAGCCTTGTGAAGAGCCTCTAATACTTTGGCATGCCCCAGTCGGATGCCATATTGACCTGAACATGTGGCCAGAACACCTGCCCGCATTTCCTCCTTAAACCACTCCTCTTGACGCATGTCCTCCAGGTCCTCGTGTTTCAGGTACTCCTCCACCGTACTGCGTTGTCCGTAGTAACAGCACCAGAAGAAAAGTGAACGATTGTATTCTCCTCTTTGTTGTACTACAGGTAGTAAACTTCCCATCTCTGTCATAAACTCGAACCACATTTTAACAAACTTCTCATCGTCAAAGGTGGGGTGGCCAGCTATCTGGGGCAGATTTCCTGCCAGGATTTCAAAGGTGAATCGCTGACACAGAGGAGCATGTTCTTTGTGCCAGACTGTTACACTGGTTACAACATTTGACGAGTAACTGGAAGTCGTCCTGATCCTGTTGATGAGGAAATCACTGCTGCAGAGCTCTATAACCAACGCTGGAAACTTGTTGGTCACAGCCTCAGCCATGGTATGGTAGGACCTCTCGTGCATGAATTTCCAACCGTGTCTCTTGGTGGGAAGAAGGAACAATCCATACAACAGTGTTGCCGAGTAACGCATTTTTGAAAGGTTCAAATCCTCGACCCCTAATGCCTCTGATAAACGGCGTATGATGTGCTGCTCTTTGTCTGTGAATTCCTCAAAGCTATGTTTATCCAGTTCAAGCTCCCCGTCGAACAAGATGCCTATTGCCAGCGTCAAGTATATCGTCTTGTTGAACCCCAGAACCTTCTGGATGGCATTTTTGAATGATTGGAAGGGATTGGAGAAGAACTTGGGTCCTTCCATGGTAAAGCTCTTGACTGATCCAAACATCCTTGCAACATATGGATAGGACTGTGAAATATTCTTGTAGTCGAGATTGAGTTTTTCTCTGTAATCCAGTCCTCTGTAACCTCCATTAGCAGACATGATCTTTTCTCGCCAAGCTTGCTCTGGCTGGAATTTGCTTTCGGTCATATCAAACACCATATCTTTTCTGAAGAGATCGAGATAAGCTAGCTCCCCTGTCAGGGCTTCGTGGTGACTCTTGTGTAAACAGATAATCACCACTAGTTTCTGCATGTTTGCCATGATTTGTTTGGATATCTGTAGAAGAGTTTTCTTCCATCCTCTAACGGTATGCATGTTTACCATTGATGTACCAAATATATCATCAATGAGGACGACTTGATATTTACTGGTGTCCACCTTATTCTCCCAGTCAGCAGGTGAATTTACTTTAACGTACTCGTATATTCTTTCTCCGCGGCCAGCGAGGCTGTACGAGACAAATCTTTCCTTAGACCTTGCATCTCCTTTATCCGGCATCGTTTTTGGGGACATGATCAATTTTTTGATGAGCCACTCTGCCATTGAAGATTTACCGTCACCAGGCTGGCCTGTGATAGTCAGGAATCCGTTCCTCCACAACATCTGGATCGCTATGTCATGGATGGGTGTCCATTTTATCATGTCTCCAACAAAAGTGTACGGGGCAAAGAAGTTATGCCACACTGCAACATAAAACAAAAGTTATTTACATATTTTAAATTTTACTTCACCAGTATCTTAGGGGGGCTCCTCACAAAAGGGTAACATTTGGGACTGACATTATTTCCTAAATTTTTCTTTCATTTTGGAAGATTAAGTGCCATTAAATAGAAGGATCAATTAGGTGGTTGGAAGTTAAAACCTTGTATGATAATTTTTATCAACAAAACAAGGTTAGAATCTGACATGTAATATAAAATATTGCAAAAACATAAATTTGTTTTAAAAAAATCGACAAACTTTACCTAATTTAGAACCTGTGACCCTAATTACACAATATTTTCTTGGTCTTACTGTTTTAAAAGTAATAAGGAAAATCAGGCAATCACCATCCTCTGAAACCATAGGTTCTGCTCTTGATAGTTTTATTTATGTTTGTTGCCATGCTTTCTAAGAGAAAACTTTGATTTAAATTACAAACTTTCATTTAAAGTACATGTTGTTTGTTTTAATCTTTGTCAAATGTTACTGAACTACATTTCACTGGCTCTTACGTTCTTGTTCATCCTGATTGAGGAAAACCTCTAGGTTGTATTCAGGAGATGGTCTATGTATTTCCACAAACTCCGATCCACTCGACCCTTGGCCTTCCTGTGAACCTGCAACGTACATTTTATAGGAACATAGTTTCAGCAAATATTAGGTGTATGACATTTTTATAGAGAGGACTTAATTCTATACAGACTTCCACTCTATAGTAAATGATAATGGTTGATGGTAATTAGTCTTTTCTAAATATGAATTTAATCTTGATTTTAGCTGCAACTCCTGTTACTGTATCATGCTTATACTTTGCAGATAATTTTGATGATTTGTGGCCTGTTATAACCCTGACAAATGTGGCCATTCTGAGAGTTAGTCGGAACATTTTGAATCATTTAAACGGTAAAACCTCATAATTTTTTCCATGAACAAAGCGGCGAAAAATTCATTTTGTATATCATCATTGAACTATGTAAGCTAAAATATCATGAATTCAAGTAAGAGATATATTATATCCTATATTTGATTTGCTCATAAAGTGACATTAACAGATTCCATTAGGTGATGGTGTATACAATGTTTATATATAAAAGCAGCACCCTGTAAATAAGCTCCATCTTGTATCACTTATCGATGAAAATGCTTGTGAAGTGAAATATTGCAGCAGACAATATTTTTCATCAGATCCATCCTCATGATCAATATTCAAGAACGGAGCATTTGTTTCTTTGGGAATTTACTCCCAGATATGTCTGAACTTTGTCACTCACAGTACTAGTACATGCTGAATTACCTGATCTGCTGTGCTGTTGCCTCGACATTTCTACAAATCTTTGTCTGTCATCCAATCAGCATGACACCTATGAGTAGGGAGTAAAATCAAGTCATTATTAGTGTATAATATTAAATACACTTAAACTTGGCAAGGATTTACACAACATGTTTCATTATGATGACTGATGAGGCCAGGACTTGCAATCTTTGTTTCTACAGATTTGTCCTGAGGCACATAAGAATTTTCCATGATATACACATTTTGTTTTATTTGAAATGGAAGCATGCTTGCAATAAATCAAAGATTTAGGAACAAATTCTGTAAAATTTAGATTGACAGATTATATACTGTATAACATGAAATGTTTGTTGTGTATAAACATTTGTGATTATAGTGGTTGTTATTGAACCACGAAAATAAATACAGTGAATTTGAATGATATGTGTGTGTAAGTGTGTTAATATGGGACATCCACGAAAGTTTGTACCACGAAACAATTTAAATGCTTCAAACCACGAAGGAAAGTGCCCACGAACATTTTGTGTTATACAGTATATAGAGCTATGATAATCAGCCATATTTGAACCAAACTAACATGTGATGTCAAAAATTGCCAGATCTCATCTGAACTATTCAGAGGCGCAAAGCTACAAACTAAATACTTTGGAGAAATCAAAGAGTGATGACCCTTGGATACCTTAGGGCATCTGTATATCTTGGGCTACCATAGGTCACCAAGAATGACAGTTTCCAACTGTCATGGCTACCCAATGAAACCAGGCTACTTTAGGTTACCTGACTATCTGAAGTAACTAAGCTACATACAGGTAATCAGCCTACCTTATTATGTCATCAAGAGTGATGACTGCAATTGGTCATGGTTGTCACAGACAACCGTACTACATAAGGTCACTGCGTTGCCAAAATACCTTTGGTTGTCTCGAGACCTATAATGGTACGTCATGCTTGTATGTATAGCCCATTATAACATCTGAGTAAGATTTCCTTGGGCATTTACATGTACATGTATCAGATGAGGTGCTTCAAACGTAACATCCCCACATGTTTGTCAGTTTATGAAAGTAACTGACAATATTAAGTTTGTTTTTTGTTTATATATATAAAGTCTGAATATCTACTGATAATTTTTTTTTTTTTTTACATTTTTAAAACATTAATTTTTACGTGTTTAGAGATTAACATAGAAGAGGAAGGCAAAGTTACCCCAATGTTTGCAGAATAAAGCTATTTTTTTAATTTTGTGTCAGTATACAGATACCATTCACTTGAAATGGAAATTAAAAAAAATGCCTGTTTTATACATTTGAAAAGTGTTCCAGTTGGGTAACATTTCATTTTGGGTTCCCTGACATTATGTGATAGTTGTGTGGTAGGGTTCAATTGTACATAGGATTAAGGTCGCCTCGAGCTAGGGGGAATTTCCCTTAAGCTCAGTGGTAGAGCGTCCGACTAGGAACCTGGAGATAGAGGGTTTGATCCTCGATGGAAGCACACTATTCTCTTTCCTGTTACAAATAGTGTCCGTGGCCCTCTCTGTGGTGACAGGGAGTTAGATCCTGGGTTGTGGTGTTCGAGGGCGAACACATTTAAAAAGGGGGGAGTAGTGTGGGAGTGTTCAATTGTACATAGGATTAAGGTCACCTTCTAGCTTCGAGCTAGGGGAAATTTCCCTTTAGCTCAGTGGTAGAGCGTCCGACTAGGAACCAGGAGATCGAGGGTTCGATCCCCGGTGGAAGCACACTATTCTCTTTCCTGTTACAAATGGTGTCCGTGGCCCTCTCTGTAGTGACAGGGAGTTAGAAACTGGGTTGTGGTATTCGAGGGCGAACACATTTAAAAAGGGGGGAGTAGTGTGGTAGTGTTCAATTGTACATAGGATTAAGGTCACCTTCTAGCTTCGAGCTAGAGGGAATTCCCCTTTAGCTCAGTGATAGAGCGTCTAACTAGGAACCTGGAGATCGAAGGTTCGATCCCCGGTGGAAGCACACTATTCTCTTTCACTTTCTCATATGTTTCTAATATGAAAAATTGAAATTTTGGATTTTACATTTATTATTGGAAACGAAGAATATAAGTATTTATTGTTTAATAATGATATCAATTTCGGGTTGTTCTTCGTGTTTTGACACGTTGATCATGGCTTTTTTTATTTATAAAAATATGATCGACGCACATCCAAAACCGGAAACGGTTCTCCAAAAAGTTGTTACTGAAAATTAACAGGTATATAGCGGTATTAACGATAATAGTGAATCCCAAAATGTGTATGATTATATACATAGAGATGAAGTCCATTCAGCTATAACATAACGCGAGTCGGAGGAAGTTTCCAGCAACAAAAGTAGCCCTTCCCCCACCACCAATGATCATGTGCAGTTGTATAGCTTAGGAACAAGTCGTTCAAACAAAACATACTCGCGTACGTATGAAGTGTTACACCTAATAATTCTGTTATTAGTTTTGAAACGAAACCTTAACAAGTTCAATTCGAACAAATCAAATAATATAGGCATACCATGAACACCAACTGGAAATCCAACGATGTCCGGTATCGGGGAATTTCCACTTTTGGTTAGAGACTCATCAGTGTCACTCAAACGCTTATTACGGCTTAAGCTTGCTGAACCGGTCGAACTACTGCTAGTGGAACTCTGCTATCACAATTTAGTACAGGACCAATCTAGCCTGTGCTGACAATTTCCTTAATTTAAATACAACAATATTGTTCTAAACAGTATTACACGCGCTACACAATACATTATACAGCATTATTATAGGCAGTAATATGTTTTACGGCACGGCCGTTAGTGAGGGCGGAGCTAGGTTGTAAATCAGACCTACATGTATAGCTATACAGTGTATATAACAGTTAAGTTTCCTTTCTTGATTTCTTTTTGGCTGACAATATGTTTGATATCTTGAAGTTTTCCGCGTAGGCGTATGATGACATGACATTAACGTGAGAATGCGAAAGGTTCATTAGACTCTATATAAATATTTAAATTTGCACCTGTTGAATCCATTGCAAAAATCAAGTGCAGCAGAATCTACAAAGACATTGAAATAAAACATATTAGGATGGATATTGTTAATCATGTATAATAGCATAGTTATCTGATATCCACGAAAAGATATATATATATATGTATATATCTTTACGAATAAGCCCTTTGGATTACTTCAAACTTAACTTCAATGATTTATAAATATTGTATCCAGAGAGAATTTATGCATAGTATTTTACAATTTTTTGTGCTTTGAATGTGTAAAAATTAATTTGTTCAATGCTATAAAAAATGGATTTATATGAAGTTTCTATTAAAAATAAGAAGAATATTCGATATCACATTTTTTGTCATTTTCCAATACCCATCCTTGCAGCCCAGAGAGTCAATAGATCTTGAATTACTAAATCAAACCTACATGTATAGCTACTGGGCTATACACTATTACAGTGTATATTACAGTTAAGTTTTCTTTCTTGATTTCTTTTTTTTCGCTGACAAGATGGTTGTTATCTTGAAGTTTTCCGCCTAGGCATATGATGACATGACATTAACGTGAGAATGCGAAAGGTTCATTAGACTCTATATAAATATTTATTTTTGCACCTCTTAAATGGAATCCATTGCAAAAATCAAGTGCAGCATATTCTACAAAGACATTGAAATAAAACATATTAGGATGGATATTGTTTATCATGTATAAAAGCATAGTTATCTGATATCCACGAAAAAATATACATATATATATATATATGGGGCAAAGAAGTAATTCCAACGTCAGTGTGGACAAGTTTAGGTTGTTAAATTTTCGGAGCGATCCGCTCCTTTCTCAAGACACAGTGAAACGGAACAGTTACATGTACATATACATCATATTACAAGAAATAGAACTGGTATACTGTAATTGAAAATATAGCTATTATATAAAAAAAACCCACAATATTCCCCTCGGCTAAAGACAGCCGAAGGCAGCAATTAAGGTGAGAACATCGCGGACAAGGAACACTCGCTCTCCCAATTTCGGTTCGATCCCCAGCGGTGGTGGAAACAAGAGAGTGATGTCTGATAGGGTTAGTTGTTATCCCTCCGATGGCACGGTGGTTTTCCCCCCGTGAGTTTCCTCCTCCACGAAAACACCATTTGTTCCCTTAGCGGCGTCGTAATAAAAGCTCTACAGAGCTTATGTTTGTTGTTGACAATTGTACACGACGTTAAATAAAGATTATTATGTATTTATTATTTATTATAACGCTGATGTAGAGGACCTATTCTTGCGTATGTATATATATCTTTACGAATAAGCCCTTTGGATTACTTCAAACTTAACTTCAATGATTTATAAATATTGTATCCAGAGAGAATTTATGCATAGTATTTTACAATAAATTTTGTCCTTTTTATGTGTAAAAAAAAATAAAAATGTTCAATGCTATAAAAACTGGATTAATATGAAGTTTCTATTAAAAATAAGAAGAATATGCGAAATCACAATTTTTGTCATTTTTCAATACCCATCATTCCAGCCAAGAGAGTTAATAGATCTATATATATATATTGTGGATAAATACATTTGTTTCAGCAACTTACTGACTACATGCTTTATATGTCTCTGCTTTATGTATAGTTTTAGCAATAGAGAAAATGTATTGTTTCCTCAATTTGAAATTGAATCAGTTCAGCACATAAAACTGTATAGAATTGTTTTTTAAATCGTGCAGATTTGTAAAACAGCAGATTTTCTTTTATGAATAAAAAAAAAATAGCTGTTAGATAGTAATCAAAAATGAAAATGTAACAGTATGGATTCAATTTTTTTCTTGTTTTTTTTTTTCGTGCAAAATATCAATTAAAAAATTCTTATGAAAATACTGGTATGTTTTTTTATTCTATCATTTTGTTGACAACCAGCACGTTGTTTTGTTGATATTCCGTTTTCAAAATATATACCACTGCACTCTACCCAGAGTTGTCGTAGGGAGTGCAAGGACCGTAACTCTGCGTGATAGTCTCGTTCAACCAGACTCTTGTTGTCTGCGCAAGCGTCTGATTGACCGGGACCGTGAGAGAGCTCCGCTCTCTATTACTATTACATAACTCTAATACTGTCTATAATAATACTATATTCGAGCAGAGACGGAAAAAAAATAAACTACGTAACGTTATACTCTTATGTTGTGAATACGACACGACATGAATTTGAAACAAATATAAACGGCATATAACAACGTGTGTGCATACCCATTTTTTCCACGCACCTGGTCTTTGCCTGGATTGCCTTTATTGCTTAATCATTCTGATTTCTTTTTTTTCAAACCCCCAAGCGGCGCGAAGCGCCGTTGGGGTTTGATCTGTAAACACTTTGTCCACTTCCGGTGCTTCCCCATGCGTGAAAGCCTTCTGGGAAATTGAGTCCGCATACGGTCTACAAAAATACGAAGGTAAACCTTACGGTATCGGTATTTAGTACAGTTTTCTAGTGAAATACCATGAATTCTCCATCTAATAAACACATATGTTTAATGCAGTGACGATAAACGAAATATGATATATTCACAAATAAAAAAGTCACTCTTAGTATTGTCCAATCTGAACGGTACATTAAAGTCTCTGCGTAGATTTTTCAGTTTCAAGTTTAGATGAAGTGAAGGCAGACTAAGTGGTTGTGTTGTCAACATTTGCAGCATACATTATTGTTTTTACATATCAACACAATTAGTATCATTTTTGTCTGGTAGTCTTACCAGATAATACTAGCAAACGGCAAAATTGCAATTAAAAACCCATTCAAAATGGCGCTCTGTATTGTTGTCAAGCGTGACGTCATTATAATTTGGCGTCAAAAACTACGTTACACATTCCCGCGCTTTTCTGATAAAGCAATATTTGCGCCTCATGACGTGATAAAAATGTAAGAAATAGAACATTTCCTGGTTTTCCCGTTCAATACGATATATTCATTTCATTTGTGAAAACGAATGTGATAACAGCTAAAAAACCAACGTTGTGGCAAAATGTGTCTTCGCCTCGAGAAGTAACAACCATTTTTCAAAGGGGCGGGGGCTACGATTGACGCTTTAACCTAGAAGACGCTGCCGTTTTACCCAAAATAGTAAAATAGGAACATTGTCAAAAGAAATATTTGCAAAAAACGCTGCAATTTTGACCAAAGGTATAAAAGATATTTTTATGTAAATCATCTTCATGTCCCGGTTTCTCCCTCTTAGAAGTTGGCGTTATTAACAAATAGTTGACATTAAACGTTAGGCCTAGTCGTGCAGTTGAAACTTTACATTTGCGTGTTGTGGGACAATTATTAAGTGACAAAAGTGCCAAATGTAAGGATATTGAGCGTGAACTGAATATTCTGAAAGACAAAATGATGCCATTTACAATATATATAATTATAAATAAATCGATTCAAGTATGCAGGACCTGTTCCCTCGTGTTTGATGGACTGTCAGTAAGTCGTTTTCATAAAAAAAAGTTTGGTGTCCAGCAGCATTGCTGCATTTTCTTGTTAAAATTTAAATCTAGTCTCGCAGCTTCTCTTTCAACCCCAAAAACTTCAGCTCTAGACGAAACCGAGTTTTTAGTAAATCTCATAAGTAACAATCAAAAACCGAAAAAAATGAAAAAATGTCTGAAAAGATAAAATAAAAGATGAAATCAATGGAATATTCTAATAAACACGGTTCTGAGTGTACAAATCAGTAGAGCTACGTACACCATGATTTTAACCCAATACCTCAAATTATATTATTGTACAGTTATAACAAAAAAAAAAAAAATCAAAAAAAGTGTGTGTGTATATGTGTGTGTCAGAGACGTATATACTATATATGGCTGTATGTCTTTGGGGGGTGTAGGGGTCTTACAAATATTGTACATAACAGGAACATACTATTTTAATGTGTTTGCTAAGGTTTTAATTACGATATGTATTGCTTCATAATTTATGATATTTGGCCGATTGTCTAAAGTATTATGTAACGCGTGGATACACTGAGTCGTCCGTAGTATTATCTTAGTAATATATATTGCATCTTATTCGCATTCATGTGCAGGGGCGGGTCCAGGTGAGGGCGTAATGGGCGTACGCCCCCCTTTTCAACCCCCCCCCCCCCCAAAAAAAACCCTATCGTTATCTGCTAATATTGTATTGAATATGGCAATTTATCATATTCATTAATTAAACACATACTCTGATTTCTTTTTATACTGATTCCCCCCTCCGATGGGTGATCCGTAGTTTTTTCCCAAAAAAAAAGGTACAATGTTTTTTGGATTTGATTCTGCGCCCCCTCTTTCAAATACTCTAGAAACGCCCCTGATGTGTACCGTTTACTGTTACTATAATACCCGAGTGGTCAGTCTTTATGGTGTAACGTCATATAGTCTATGTAATTTCACTGCTTGTTTTATTGGTCAATTAGGCGGGCTATTGCTTTGTATGCGTCAGTATCAGTTCACACATATTTTCTATATCGACGGGACGAACTTGACAGATTTACTTGTAGTTTTTTTTAACCTTTTCCAATGTCTTCTATATACAAATCTTTCAAGTATAGGATGCAGGTTTTGTGTAGCATTATATTTTAATGGTCAATTAG